TCTCTTCTGTATACTGTTCATTCTCACGGAAAGCAATAGTGAATCAGAAGATTAATTTTTAATCCCACTTGGTTGTTCCTGAGGACAATCACATTCCACAATGCTCTTGGTTCCTGGTAATTGTCAAAATGGTACTGGTGTCAGATGAGAATAAGTATCAAATATTATTAGCTAAAATAATTATTTGCAGTTTTTAACACATAAATTCAAAATGGTAGAAGTTTTTCCTTTTGTTGTTCCGTTTATTTCATTTTGCTTGTTGCTAGTTTTCATGCAAAGTGATTTTTTTTTTTTGAGATTTGTCCAATTTTCCTTCAACCTTCTAATTTTTAGTTTGGAAACTGCTGGAAACAATCTGGTTTTGATGCAACCCAAATTTTTGTGAGTATTTGTATGTTCTAAATAAACTCAACTAGGTCATATGACTCACAGGCTTTCCATGGTCTCACTGACTTGATTTTCTGTCTAGAAACTGCTCAATTAGTATGGCTTGATCAGATGGGCATTTTTAAATGCTTCTTTTAAAAATAAAGTAATTTGCAAAGAATACTGTACTTTAAATTTCTCTTGTTATTTTGCAAAATATTTTTAAAGGTTTGTAGAGTAGACAAGTTTGAGTAAAAGAATGTGTTTTTGAGCCCCTTGAGGGCTCCAGGGCCAGCTGCTGTCTGTAGCTTCAGCTCTGTGATTAAGACTAAGGAAAGATTGATGACAGGGTTGGGAAATGGGCAGAGCAGGATCTGCATTTGGGAAAGCTGACAGACACTCCAGGAGGGTCATCTTCTCCTCTTTTTTCATTACACTGTAGGTAAGAGAAACAAGAAAAAACTTTGGTAAACCAGCTACTCAAGAGACTGTCATAACTTAGCTTATCCAAATCACATTTTACTGGAATCCATTTTTTTTGTATTGATTTTTATTGGGCTCTACATTTTTCTCTGCTCCCCTCTCTGCCTCTCCTCTCCTGAATCCATTTTTAAGAAAGACTTCTAACATTCAGATACAGCCACAGTCACTTTCATGCCTTTGTGAAATGGGGGTGCTCACAAGCAGCCTTGTAGAAAATTCACACTTGAAACAAATTCAGAATTTGTGTATTTCTGACCACAGAGACTTCGGTTCTACTATTCCCTTGTTGCCTTGTGCACTGTGTTTTATCCTTTTGTTTTTAATGGTTAATGCTCAATTCATATCAAGCCTTTAAGCTTCGTTGACACACATATCATTCACCTTCCGTTTCTGAGGACATAGCAAGCCATGAATGCGTGTGAAGAGAGACCAGTGTTAGGGCTATCTGAGGTCTGCCTCTCAGCCCATCCATGAAAGCAGACAGCTGAGAAGCAGACAAACTTAGAATGGTGGGGCTCTTTTGTTTGTTTATTTGTTTGTCTTTCTACTTTTCTACTTTGTTTGTGAAGGAGTGAGAACACTCTGTTATGATGTTTGCAAAAAGATCGAATTAAATATAGGAAATTCATGAGTTTTCCAACAATTTTTTTTCTTAATCATGGGTATTTAAGGGGATATTCTGCTTCATTGTGCTCCAGATAGCTAACATTCATGAATTTAAAGAAACATAATCTATTACACGATTTCCTGAATCCTGACATATTTAAGGTCAACGGTCGCAGTAAGCATACATAGAATTGCACAGAGTTTTAAGGTTTAGCTCCACATCTCCCCGCAGGTGTTTCAGAAATTTTTATGCTCTAGTATTGCCTAGAATAGATCAGTGTTTAATTGGTGGAAGTCATGAAATCATGACCAGAATATTTTCAGGTATTTTATTTTTCAATTATTTTTCTTACGTGGGAAAAAAAAATCTGTGGACATTCTATGAAACAGAGAATCTGAAGAGTAGTCACTGTAGAACCATCCTTTCCTATAATTATCATTCCCAGTACTTCCCTGGCTCCCAAATGATCCAATTTATCCGGAAAATGAAATGGGTCAGCTGTTTATGCACTCAGGCTGTTAGGTGTTAGCTGACATCTCCGAAGATTTATGACTAGTCCTTCAATACCTGTCACTTCCTATCCTCCGGGCTGCCACTGTCTAGTAAAACTCAATTTATCTTCCATTAAAGCAGCTAGTAAAAATAAATAGAGGGCGAGCTGAATAACGAATGGAGTGTGGGGAGGATGAAGCGGGGATTTGAATTTGCTGAGTATTGGCTAAAATTGCTGTGCACACTCTGACATGCTATTCAATAACTATTTAATTACTTAGACATTGAGAGTAATCAAGTGGTTTCCAAAATGTATGAAAAGTAAAATAAACACGAAACACTGGAAAACAGCAGCGGTTCCGCTTATGCATCAGTACTTCCAGTCATTAGCAGATTCGGCCATAACAGTCTTTCACTTTTTTTTTTTCTCTTTCCAAAATGTAGCAAGTGACAAACATCTGTCTCTGCTTTCTTCGCGGGAAAGGACCAAAACCTGGATTGCTTCCAGGCCATCCGGATAACAATTTTAACTGGAACAAGTGACCTTTGGAACAGACTAGAACAGAAAAGCCCTGCCAGGCTGAGGCGAGGGTGGAGTCCACTGGAAGGTCCCCAGCTTGTTCTCATGAAATTGCTGCTGAAGAGAATGGTGAAAAGTTAAGGGAAGAAAACTTTAAAAAAAAAAAAAAGTTACAGCCAATGGAAAAAAAAATGTGTGTCCATGATACAGAATTCAAGCATAGTTAAAATTAGAGGGTTTTTTTTAATCAATATTTTATATACAGGCTCAACAAATAGTTCTTTGAGTACAGAAAAGCTGAATAGTTACGTAACATTCATCTTGGAGTAATCAGAATCACTGAAGCTAAAGAACCATCCATTTGTTTTCATCTCTCAACTGGGTCAGAATTCTTTGACCTGTAATTCCATGAGAGTTGTTAGATGTTTTCAGACAATTATCAAGTGCTTACTTTAGAAAATTATTGGTTCACTCAAAGTTAAAGTGATGTCTAGGAGTGGTGGAGTATGTCTTTAATCCCAGCACTGAGGAGGCAGATGGATCTCTATGGGCTCGAGGCCAGCTTGGCCAATGGAGTGAGATCCAGGCCAGCCAGGGAGATCTTGTCTCACAAAAAGGGGGGAGAAGGTTAAAGTAACGTTACAAAGATTTTGTTGGAGAGGAGGAATGGTTATTTTCTCCAATGTTTATTTAGAAGGCATGAAGCTATTTCTTATATAGGTATGCAAAAGAAATTCGACTCTATATCATCAGCAAGGACATGTTAAAAAGATCATTAAGCCTTACAACTTGCAAAGAAGTTACAGAAACAATAAGAGAATCTTCCTTCATTCAGCCATATTTAGTGAATTTCTATATAATAGTGTCATCTGAAAAGCGTTGCTTACATGAAGAATTAGTGTGTTTGCCTAAGTAGAAAATTTCACTTTGTATGTATTTAACGTGCTTCTGTAGATAGAATTTCAGAACCAGGGGATCGCAGTGGCTAGGTAACACCATGTAATCGAAAATTGTCCATGGTTAATAATTGTGCTTTGAATCCTGTTCAATACGTTATATAGGGATTCAAGAACAAAGACTCCAAAGATTTGTCTTGACTTATCTTGGAAGGAGACACTTCTCACAGAACTCATGAGGGTGGAGGCTAATACACCCCTGATCATATCCGCAGTTCCTTAATTGCTTGCACAGAGTGTCCTTTAGGTGGAGTTTCAGATTTAGCTGTCAAAATTTAAAATGCAGTCTGAGACTCTCTACAAGTAATTTAACAGAGGCTGAAACCCAATACCATTAGTAAATATTGAAGTTGGAGCTATAGATGGAAATACTGGCACAGAAAAATAGTAGCAGCCAATATTTCTCAATTATGGAAATAACAAAAAGTAAAATGTAGCAGCCTTTAGAAATGAAACATCGTAAAATTGTCAAAATGCCTACCTCAGTATTAATTTCCACTCCACGGTTAATGTTCTTTATTGTTTAACAAATAATAATTCTACGTTTTTGTGCGCATCTGTCTGTGTGGTAGGGACGAGTTCACATGTGCAAACCATACATGCAGCGGTCAAGAGCACAGCTTGTGAGACTCAGCTCCTTCCTTCCAACAAGATCTAAATCAGGTCATCAGCCTAGGCGGCAGGACTAGAAATAAAGGAGAACAGTCTTTATTGTTGGTCCTGATAAACCTCCCTTGGGACACCTGGCACCAGTAGCCAGTGCAAGGTACTCATATTTTTAAATAGTCAAATGTGTGTGCACCCAGGGAAGTAACTGGTTCATGTGATTTTTTTCTTTGACTAAAACGAGTAGCCGGTGCTAGACAATCATATTTAAACATAATCAAATGTATATGTTCCCAAGGAAGTGATTGGTTCATGTGATATTTTGATGTATACATTGTTTCTCACTTATTAATTCATATATTTATTTTCATTGGAAGTTAAAAATTCTGCCACCTTAATACTACATTAGCAAATTTCCTAGATATTTTCCTACCTATATTACATATATAGGTAAGATAAAGTGGTGGTAAATGCATTTTGTTAAATGAATTGGTGCATAATTTAGTGTGCAAAGACAGTTTATATGAAACCCATGTGTCCTCAAATATTTAGCATTATGTTTGGAAGAGCAACAAATTATTCTTGACAGTATAGTTCGACAGTCCTGTTATCAGGTCCAGTTAGAAGATGGTCAGCCAACACACTCTAAAGGAACAATTGGCTTTGAAAAGTGATATTTATGTAATACAGTTATTGCATCAGATGCTTCTGGTAAAAGGAACCAAATCATGGCCTTTGCCATCATCAGCAACAAGTCCATGTTTGCACAACTGAGTGAGATTTATTCATAAAACTGAAACATGTGTGGGCTGAGAAAAATAGGTCAAAAGTTAAACTCACTCTCTCTCTTGCTCTCTCTCTTTCTCTCTCTTTCTCCCCCCAGTTCCAACTACTAAATACAAAAATTAAATATGTAGTTTTAGGATGTATTTTTAGATTATTAAATGAATATATAATACAGTTTGATTTATTTAAAATCTTTTATTCTCAACAAATTCAAACATATCATTGAGTTTACATAGAAATACAATTTCCAATCATGTCTTCATAAAAATTCACTGGTGAAGTACATGTTCATATTAATGACCAATTATGTACTACTTGATCATGCCATTAGCAGAACAGATCACCATTAAAAACTGATAAGTAACATATCTTAAATGTGCAAATATCATCTTAGTATTCTATCGTGTTACAATTGATATTAAATGTTTGCTAAATATATACCTAGTACATAAAGCTTTTTAAAGAACAATAAAAATACAAACTCTATCTGTTTAAAAAAAGCCATTTATATGGCTTCTAAATATCCTCATTATACAAATTCCAAAATACTATCTGACAAATAGAACAGCAAAAACTTCCTGATGAAATGCATACTACCCGCTAATTCAGGTTTGACTTATCAGGCTTAACAGAACATAAATAGAAAGGCTCATCTATACTGTAGAGCATGGTGGTACAAATATAGTATTGCATAAGCATATTTGATTTCTGTTCCTAATGAAAAGGTACCTTTAATACCTGCATAAAACTCCATGAGTAGAAATCTACTTATTTTTGATAAATTTCCTACAACCAAGCCCATATTTTCATTACTTTATTTTCTTATATTGTGACTAACCAAATTAGAAATTTGACCATATTTTTTTTCTGCACTATCACTGTTAGTATTTTACACCTTAGGCAAATATATTGGAAACATATGTTTTCAAAGGTCGGGGTTCATCAGCGTATCAGCATTAACACTACGGAATTTTATTGCTCATATTGGAGATGAAGCTGATGAGAAGGTTTTGTGAGAAACAGGTTCTGACTTTAACAGAGCAAAAATTAAATTCGTTAAATATTCTTAAAATTAAATAGAATACCTCTCAGAAAATTTAAAGTATCAAATTAATGTGGCATAGAGACATAAGGTCGGTAAGAGAAATACCACATCACAGGCAAAATAAAAATAGACAACAGGCAGGCATTGCATCTGTAGAAAGCAAAAACTTCATTTCTTAAAATATCAGAGCAAATGATGGCCCAATGTTATACTAATATGACAACACACTAGAAATAAAATTTTTACTTTTTTCAGGGAAGCACTTTTCCCACAATTGTTACTTTTGAGACAAAGTAAACATTTTTAGAATATAACGTAAATGACTGATGTTATTATATAGTAATTATTAATAGTCTAAATATATTTGATATAATACTATTAGAACTTATATTCTTATTTTAGAATTTGGTAAACTTGCAGTATAATTGCTAAACTTTTTGATTTTCATAATGAGATGAACATTTTAGATACAAAATGACATCCATCTATTCACTAGTGGCCTGTTTATTGGCATCAAAATAGAACATGTATAGCTCAATACTGGTCTCCTGTTTCAGAAATTTGAAAAAATATCAAGGTAGGCTTGGGGACTAGGATAATGAACTAATGCCTTTGAGAATGAGCATAAATTTCAAGGTGATGATTATTAGAACACAGACAAGGCAGATACTCAGTAAACTTCTCTCTCAATTACAGATTCACCCATACCACAGAAGGGAACATAAAAATCCAATATACATTACACTAGTTATACTTAAAATAAAAGATAAATCAACAGTGAATGAGGAAGCTTTTACTTCAATAGATTTAAAAACATTTAGATATTCAAAAATATATTGGCACAGATATAATAACTGTCTTGAAATAATGAATGATATATATGTATATAAACAAACTAAGCGTAAGTCAGGATCATTCATTCTTGACGTCAGCACCTGCTGTCTAACGGGTCGAGACAAAATACCGTTCCTTCAAGAGTTAATCCCATTTTGAACCCCTCCTGTAAAGCAGAATAAAATGGTTAAAATTGTTAGTAGAAAGTAATGGCAAAAGAAAAATCATCTCACCAAGCAAAAGAGACTATGAACAGAAATTAACTTCCATTGTCTAAATAAATGCAAATTTTGGTTTATCAAATTCTTACACAGATGTAAAGAACTATGAGTTCTTTTATGTTTAGTGACATTTTTGCTGTCTTAAGTATATATACTGAATGTGTATGAGAAACAGAAGAAAATACCAATGTAAGACATGAAGTAGTTCTACGATTTATCCATTTCTTTTGTATCAGACATTTTCAATATTCCACTTGACTCTAAGTTCTTTACTAGTTTTTTAAAAAATTGTGTGTGTGTGTGTGTGTGTGTGTGTGTGCGCGCACGCACGCACATATGTACCACAAAAGCAGAAGAGGGCACTGCATCTCTGGACCCAGAGTTGATAGCTGTGAGGACATTCCAGGTCCTCTGGAAGAGCAGTCCATGCTCTTCCCTGCTGAGCTGTTTGTCAAGCCCCTCTTCTGGGAAGGGCTCAAAGCTGCCTGACCCTATTGGCATTTTTCTATCTGGCTACCACAGTCCACATGCTGGGTAAAACACTTTTGTAAGGGCAGTGTTGTAATCCAAACAGAATGCAGTAGCACAGACCACCGCACCATCTGAAAGCTGCCCATCAGTTCTGCTTGGAAATTATTTTGAAATTATAACATAATTACATCATTTCTCCCTTCCCTTTTCTTCCTCCAATACCTCTCATATCTCCCTCCTTGCTCTCATTCAAATTCATGGCCTCTTTTTTATAATTGTTGATAGCTGTATCTCATATATGTGCAAATATATATGTATATTGACAGTATTGACAATACATATACATATGCTGACAATATATATTGACCACACACATATTATATAACAGTATTGACTTTGACTCCTGATTTCCTTGCATGCTTTAAAAGGTTAGATGTCATTTAATTATTGAATGTTAAAAGAAAATGTGTTAAAGTTTTGTGTATTGAACTAAGGTGTGGAGTTCAAAGTTAATGACAAAAGTGTTATGTCCTGCACATACTGTGTGGTCTGCCTGTCTGTCTGACATTCTTTCCTTTTTTTAATTTTTAGCTTGATTTGGTTTGGTTTTTCAAGACAAAGGTTTCTCTGTGTAGCTGTAGGTACTCACTTTGTAAACCAAGCTGGCCTCAAACTCAGAGATCTGCCTGTCTGGGCCTACCAAGTGTTAAGATTAAAAGCATGCACCACTATGCCTGGCTTCCTTTCTATTATTCAAAGAAACAGTTATAGTATAAGGTGTCTCTGCTCCTCCAGTCTTTCTCCAATATCATCTTGCCCCTAAATCTATGCACGCTAACTTACAAAGAGGAACATAGGTATGCGCTAATCAGTGGAAAGAGAGGTCAGATTGTCGGTTTCCTCGAGAGTCATCATGATAGTACCTGATTACTTTCATTTGCGATTATCATTGGAGATAGATTTATACTTGGGCAAAGTAAACATTACCATATGCAGGAAAAAAGAGCTTTCAAAATATAAACACATATGTAGTCGATGCCTGGAGATCCCCTCATTATGTGGACCGCACACACACTACATGGCAATGTCAGTACTGAAAAGGTTTTCAAAACTTCTTCTCACCATTTAGATGAAAACTATATTCAACAGGGTAGAAATCAGGGCAGCTATTAATAATTTTAAAAAGCCTGTATCATAATAAGAACTATTGGCTATATGTGTATGTGTATCTATCAATAAAAATTAAATGGTTTTAAAAGTGAGTACTGAAAATATTACTCGCTGGTCTTTTTTTTTTTTCAAATGTTTGGTTGCTATCTGAAGACCTATACACTTGTCATCTTCTAGTACATTTTGAATAATGGATGATGGTAAGTTGATGATAGATGACATATAGATAGCAGATAAGTAGCTGATATGATATGATAAAGAGACAATTCGATGGCCCACAATATATTCAATGTTTATCAATTCATTATAAAAGTTCACTAGTTATTATTTCCTGTTCCTGAAAAGGGAAGTTATCAGAGCTATCAGTACTGGAAAACTAGAAAGTCAAAACAAAAAGAAGAAATGCACATCCACTCCCTCGTGAGAAAGTATTTTCTTGTGCACCACTTGCAGTACTGACAGACTAATCTAACCATCAGCTAATAGATCTTATAGGCTCACGGCTTTCTTATTTCTTAACCCCATCCAAACCTCCCTGGACATTTTCAGACCACCCTACAACAGTTTCACTTTTGTTTCAAGGTGTAATGAATCTTGAATCTTCCTCGTAAATCTCTAAGCCTCTGATTAAAAAATAGGTTTATTTATTTAGCACAATTATTCCTAGCTACCATCACAAATAATCACTCTATAATTAAAACATCAGTCATATTTTCATATGAAACCTTTTGCTGAGCTGTATTTTCCTCTGTGAAACAGAGAGCAGTATTTAGTAGAAAGAGAACACTGAGTAAGTGTTCAGACACTGAGGTAAGTGCTTCATTTTCTGTTCTTACAGAGCGCTCAAGTTTCATGAGAGCAGAAACTTTCCTTCACAGAGTATGTTACCTATAATTTTCTATTCTGTTGTCTTTAAGTAAACTGACTTCCTACATGCTAGTTCTCATAAAACTAATTATTCTGACTATGACACACTATTAGTCTTCATAGTTTCAATTCATTTCCATGACCTTACAATCATGAATAATGCCAAGTGCATAATTTCATGCATAAAATTCAACATATTTATCATTATTTGTCCATGTTTTAAATAACATAGAAAATATAAGTGTATACAGTAATATCAAATTACTCCCCAAAGAGATGCTGTTATAAACTAAACTTGGCCTAATAAGCATTAGACTGCTTGTTTCTCAATATTTTCATTCAATACTGTTTATTTAAAAAATTGAATTTCCTGTTAAAATGACACTTGCAGACTTTTAAAATTATAGCATGTTTGCTTTGATTACACAGAACACATTCACAAGTGGGTTAGCCAACTGTGATCTTTTTGTGAGTGAGGGTTTATTATTCATATGATGAGTGGCTAGTCTCCCAGTCATTCATCCGTTCCTGCAATTACATACATACATGTCAGTGCATGGGTATTTCACAGGTTTGCATGCACATGTATGATCATGCATATGAAATCTAGAGACCATTTGGGCATCATTTCCCAGGAATGCCACCAACCTCCTAGAGATATTTGCATGGAAGAACTGCTTATATTTCATTTATACATAGGGTCCCCAATTTTTAAACAGATGACTTGGTATTTGTATATAACTCTTTTATTTATAGACTTGCCATTGTTCTTAAACATATTACATTGCCATATGCATATGTGTATATGTATTCATGTGTGTGTTTGCATATTTATGAGTACACAGATGTATGTGTAACTGTGTGTGTTCATATACATGCATGTACATTTATACACAGCCAAAGATCAAGCTTAGGTATTGTTTTCCAGGAATGTCTTCCATGTCCTTTGAAACAGGGTCTTTCACTGGTTTTGAACCTCCTGGTTAGGCTATGATGGCCAATAATCCCCATGAAACCACCTGCCTTTGCCTCCCTAGTGATGAGATTACCCCGCCTCTTTATGGGTTCTGAGACTAAGATTCTCACATCTGCATGGCTAGCATTTTACCAACTGAATTTTCCCTTCAACTCTGTAATTCATGGAATATGTTTCTGGTTATTAACACTATCCTATTCCTTTGCCTAACAGAGATACATGTCATGAGGTCAGCACTCGGGAGGCAGAGGCAGGCGGATCTCTGTGAGTTCGAGACCAGCCTGGTCTACAGAGCTAGTTCCAGGACAGGCTCCAAAGCCACAGAGAAACCCTGTCTCGAAAAAAAAAATTATGTCAGATCAAACAACTACATAATTTATTTCAAATATATGTTAAATTGCCCAACTATCTAAAATGACATGTGGTTTAACATTTATGCGTTAAATCTAACATGCTCAAAATACCCCTAGAGTTTCAAAGTTTGTAATGTAACTCTTAGGAATAATTTAGTTTTAATCCTCTGTAAAAAAAGAAGAAAAAAAAAAAACCCCAAGCAGTTAGCTAGGAGGCTTATCACTAGCACCCTATAGCGTTCACAGCCTAACATACTATAATCAGCCTTTTATATAGCATGTAAAGATACAGCATCTATATGTGTATATTAGATTAATTAGGATAGCTAAATTAATAACAAATTCATTGTAAAATCTAAATGAAAGAAAGATTTTACTAAGTATAGTTAAAGTGGCCTAGCAAGTAAGTCGTGAACTAACAGAAACATATAGTGAGGTGAACAATGAAATGTTGACGGTCACTGAAAAATTAACCTGAAGATCTAAGTTATAAAACCTCTATTAACACATCCATATTAAACTTGCTTGAATAGTTATTAAGCAAAATATGTAAATACAAAAATTTTAACTCTTAAAAAGATTGTTATTTCTTTAAATGATGAAAATGAGATACCAACCATCTCTGGCGCTACCCACCACGAAAGCAGGAGAGTAAAAAAGACATCAAGAAAACATTAGAAACATCAAAATGCAAAGCATCACATTCTAGATTAATATTACCTGATGACCACATTGCTAAGACACGCCTGTATTTTCTCAAACTGGGTTTCTACAAACGTCCGAGGGCTTATCTTTTAAAACCTACTGAGGTTGTAAATTTAGTACTAAGAACAAAAGGTCTGCAGGAAAGTCTTCATGATCTGAAACACCCTGAGAAGAGTCATTTCTGCCCGTTCACAGGCTCGTGTTCTGCAAGCATTGTCCCAGATAGCTCAACTAGCATAGATGGCAACAAAGGAAAGTCATTAATTCCAGAGAGGATGCAGCGTTATGTCTCATTAGCCAGCCACATTTAAGTGAAATTTTCAAAGTAATTGAGATATAAAGGTGAGAATTCACTGTCATCAGACACAATGCAACAACGCACGTTGAGATAAACAGAAGTTTCATAGCGATCTTTGTTTCACCCAAATGTTATATACATTTTATTTGATGAAGCTTCTTAATGTAAACTTTGTTGATGTTAAGATGTTTCCTAATTACATAAAAATTATATGACTCAGTCACTAATATTTTTTTCAGAGTTTTTTAAAAAGATATGATTTAGTAAATTTTAAGGCTCTGAAATATTTTTTTATGGAAAAGAGAATTATAAGTGATTGCATTTTGGAAATTTTAATATATTCTTTGCAAACATCAAGGCATGCTTTCAATAATTCAACCTTTTTAATGCAGGCATATAATTAAATCTAGAACAAAAAGATGTGTATAAAATAATTAGAAAAATAAGGCAGGCAGCATGCCATTTATCTAAATGGAAGGATGTTTATATTTATTGTCTCAGGGCAAGGCATGTGTTTGCCAGTTTTAGAGCTCAGCTAGACTCTGATTTGGGGGTGGGGAAGCACAAGGAGCCAGTGGGTACACCAGGACAACAAGCAGAAACAATTCTACCTCCTCACATTAGTGTCCCAGCCTTCTAATCTCAGTCAGCTCCAAGGAACTGGTGCTTGGATTCTATTAATTATGACATCTGTACAATAATTATTTCATCCAAATGTAAAGGGAAAATATCAAGAGAAGTCTTCATTCTGATATAAAGATGACTGTTTTTTTTTCTATCACCACCCAAGGTATGAAGCTTCAGAAACTAATTTCTTACAGCTTATAGAAAAATTTAGAAAGAGAAAAATAATCAATTTGACTCTATTTCTAAAGAAGTTGCCAATGGTGTTTGCCTTCTTAGTAGTCCAGGAGTCATGAGCAACCGTTACAATGTTTCTTTTCTAAGATTTTCCTTCATTCAACCCCTTTGCAATTTAGAAATTTGAACCTATTAGGACTGAAACAAAATCTTACAATTTCATTTCAATGGCCTTTTAAGTTCTTGACTTAAAAAATTTATAATCCTGTAATTTTTGTATTAAAAAATAAGCATCTTCTTTCTTTGCATATTGAATCATTCATAAAAAGAAAGAAAGTCTCAACATGTGTAATAGCCTTTAGGAGTAAGTGTAATTATTTTTAGTCTAACTGCTTTAAATAAGCCTTTAAAGCAACAACAAGGGATAGAGTTTTGGTACCAACATTTTCTTTGCTCCGGATGAAAAAGAAATAAACAATATTTTGTCCAATCTGTTATAATAGTCACCTGCATCTCATCTAATTTGGACTGAATATCTGGAGGGAAGTCCCCTGCTCCACAGTTAAATGGGTCAAAAGGTTCAGCTCCAAAAAGGTCCCGTTCTATAAAGAAGAAAACACTTAATAAGTGAGATGATCAAACATTGGTTGAGACACAACAAACCCAGGACTATAATTTAAAGGCTTTGTGCTTCTCTGTATGATCCCACAGTAGTTAGGAAGTATGGAAGCCTAGCAGGACAATTTGATCTTTGAGGTGGGATTCCCCTCTTTCTGTTATGAATATGTTTTATTATCATTGGTTAATAAAGAAGCTGATTTGGCCTATGGCAGGGCAGAATATAGGACGGCAGAGAAACTAAACTGAATGCAGGGAGAAAGAAGGAGCAGTCAACCAGATGCCCTGTAGCTTCCAAAGGAGAAAAAAGCTAGAAACTTACTGGTAAGCCTCGTGGTGATACATAGATTGATTGAAAGAGATTAATTTAAGATGTGAGAGCTAGCTAGAATAAAACTTGAGGGAGGTGGGAACTGGGGTTGGTATATAAACTGAAAAATGACAGTTTTACTTTTTTTAAAAAAATAGTCATTAAAAATACATTGACTAATTGACATGTGCAATCTACTTTGCCAAGTTCCACACAGGAAACAAAAAGACTACATTGCTACCATGCACTGCACCATTCCTACCATGCACTGCACCATTCCTACCATGCACTGCACCATTCCTACCAGGCACTGCATCATTCCTACCATGCACTGCACCATTCCTACCAGGCACTGCATCATTCCTACCATGCACTGCATCATGCCTACCATGCACTGCACCATTCCTACCATGCACTGCACCATTCCTACCAGTCACTGCATCATGCCTACCAGTCACTGCATCATGCCTACCATGCACTGCATCATTCCTACCATGCACTGCACCATTCCTACCAGGCACTGCATCATTCCTACCATGTACTGCACCATTCCTACCATGCACTGCACCATTACTACCTTGCACTGCATCATGCCTACCAGGCACTGCATCATGCCTACCATGCACTGCACCATTCCTACCATGTACTACACCATTCCTACCATGCACTGCACCATTCCTACCATGCACTGCACCATTCCTACCAGGCACTGCATCATTCCTACCATGCACTGCACCATTCCTACCATGCACTGCATCATTCCTACCATGTACTGCCTCATTATTACCATGTACTGCCTCATTACTACCATGCACGGCATCATGCCTACCATGCAGTGCATCATACCTACCATGCACTGCATCATTCCTACTGTGCACTGCATCATTCCTACCATGCACTGCATCATTCCTACCGTGCACTGCATCATTCCTACCATGTCCTACTTCATTCCTACCAGGCACTGCATCATTCCTACCATGCACTGCATCATTTCTATCATGCACTATAGGCTTCTGCCAACTATAGGACTACATGTGAAAGGTCTTAGTGCATAACAATTAATAAATTGGACCTCCTAACATTGAGAAGCTTTTTTGAGGCAAAGGACACAGTCAATAAAACAAAACAGCAGCCTATAGAATGGGAAAAGATCTTCACCAACCCCACAGCGGACACAGGTCTGATCTCCAAAATATATAAAGAACTCAAGTAACTAGATATTAAAATTCCAAATAATCCAATTAAAAAAATGGGATTCCAATCTAAACAGAATTTTCAACAGAAGAATCTCAAATGGCCGAAAGACACTTAAGTAATTGTTCAACATTCTTAGCCATCAGAGAAATGCAAATCAAAATGACTCTGAGATTCCATCTTATACTCGTCAGAATGGCCAAAATCAAAACCACTGAGGATAGCTTATGCTGGAGAGAATAAGGAGAAACGGGAACACTTCTGTATTGCTAGTAGAAGTGCAAACTTGTCCAGCAACGTGGGAAATCAGTATGGCTGTTTCTCAGAAAACTGGGAATCAATCTATCTCAATAATCCAACAGTACCACTCTTAGGCATATACCCAAAGGATGCTCAATCATACCACAAGGTCATTTGCAGAACTATGGTCATATATGCATTATTCATAATAGCCAGAACCTGAAAACAACCTAGATGCCTCTCAACCAAAGAATGGGTAAAGAAAATGTAGTATATTTAAACAATGGAGTACTACTTAATCGCTAAAAAAAAAATGACTTCTTGAAAATTTGCAGGCAAATATATGGTACAAAAAAAAAAAAAAACCCTGAGTAAGGTAACCCAGACCACAAAGACAAATACACTGTGTACTCACTCATAAGTGAATGTTAGATATAAAGGATAACCAACCTATAGTACACAACCTCAGAGAAGCTGGGGAACAAGGAGAACCCTAAGAGAGATATACATGGATCCCTCAGGGAAGGAGAAATAGACAAAATATTTTGAGGAAATTAGGAATGGGGTGGGGAAAGGGGGAGGTAGAGGAGAAAAGGGGAGGGAGGAGTAGAAGAACAAGAGGGAACAGGATGGTTGAGATGGGGGAAGGACAGAGAGGGAGAGCAAGGAAGAGATTATCTTGATTGTGGGAGCCATTATGGGGCTAGTGTGAAACCTGACGCTGGAGAAATTCCCAAGAATCCACAAAGGTGACCCCAGCTAAGACTCTAAGCAAATAGTTGGAAGGCATCTGAACTGGCCATGCCTTATAATCAGATTTGTGACTGCCTTAAGTGTCATCATAGAACCTTCATCCAATAACTGATGGAGGCAGATGCAGAAACCCACAGCTAAGCCCTGGCCAAGTTTCTGGAGACCAGTCCAGGAGAGGGAGGAGCGATAATATGAGCAAAGTGGTCAAGACCATGATGGGGATATCCATAGAAACAGCTGACCAGAGCTAGTGGAAACTCTCTGACTCTGGATTGACAGCAGGCCAACCTGAATAGAACCAGACTATGCCCTCTGAATGTGGGTGACAGATGTGTGGTTGGGGTAGTCTTTGTGTCTATTGACAGTAGGACCAGGATTTATCCCTAGTGCTGAACTGACTTTTTGGAGTCCATTCGCTTTTGGAGGGAGACCTTGCTCAGCCTAAATATAGAGGGGAGGGACTTGGTCCCACCTCAAATTGGTGTGTCAGATATTGTTACCTCCCCATGGGAAGTCTTACCCTCTCTGCAGAGTGGATGGAGGGTGGGATGGGGGGAAGGTGAGGGGGTGGGAGGAGCGGAAGGAGAGGGAGTAGGATAGGTAGGTAAAAAGAATAAAAAGCGTTTAAAAAAATAAATTTTAGCCGGGCAGTGGTGGCGCACGCCTTTAATCCCAGCACTCGGGAGGCAGAGGCAGGCAGATCTCTGGAAGTTCGAGGCCAGCCTGGTGTACAAGAGCTAGTTCCAGGACAGGCTCCAAAACCACAGAGAAACCCTGTCTCGAAAAACCAAAAAAAAAAAAAAAAAAAAATTTAAAAAGAAAGGTCTTAGTGCATACATAATAAGGTGGAATATGACACTGATTTTTTTTAATATACATGTGGTTTGAAGAGCTGATTCTTGGCTATTGGAATAACTCCTTCAGAGTCTGTGACAGGGCATAGATCAGATAAAACCAGGAAAATAAATGCCTACTGGATGCTTTCTGATGTACCAAAGAGAGACTTCAATGCTGTTTACAGATATGTAGAATATACATCAGAAAAAATGTTTTTGAATATTTAATATATCAAAGACAATCCCCTTAAATGACAGTATACACAGAAAAATCATAGGATATACACTCTTTACATATTCTCCCATTAAGGACACAGCAAGGCCTTGTAAGAATATCTAAACTACTCTAGTAAGCATATTACAAAGGAGTACATAATGACTCCTACTTATTTTGAACAGTTATATTAAATAAATATAACTGCACAGTTAAACTTTTTATGATTCAAGTAGACTTATATCAAAATCTTATTGTCCATATCAGGTTCAACTTGCAAATGGAGATGTATTTAGAATTTTTTTCAATTATAAAGTTAAATAGAATTATTCAAATTTGAAACCCATATAAAAGCATAATCCTTCAATAATTAAAGCTGTTGGCTCATTATGTTATTTTCACGAAATGTGAAAGAGGGAAAACACACCCAAATAGCAAGAATACGAGAATGAAGAGAGTGGGGGGAGGGGGAGAGGGGGAGGGGAGTAGGGGGAGGGGACGATGTGTGGGAGGAGGGGGAGAGAAATGGGAAACGGGGAGGAGGCGGAATTTTTTTTTTAACAACTAAAAAAAATAAACAAAACATAAACAAAAAAAAGAATACGAATATTTTTAAGAGAGCTTACGGATTTCAGCAGATCTGCTAGGTACTGGTGGGAGCTGTGTGCCATTGCGAGTAGGCGTGGGAGACTGGTGTGATATTGGGGAAAAGGGAACCATATCGAAGATGTCAGTGGAAGGAGATTTCACCGTGACACTGCCGGCCTGCAATGAAGATAGGAATCAGTGTGATCGCCCACGAATACTTAATACTGTACCGGGAATGTCACATATGTAAACCACACAAGCACAGTCCCGAGGGGAGTCAGATAACCTATGTGTAAATGAAACGTGGTTAACTACAGTTTCTTGTGGTTCAGACCAATACACCAAATGCTCACTTAGAAAACAACAAAAACTTGTTCTCAATGTAAATAGCAACACTAGTGTGGACACTGCTCAAGATTGATGGGCGAGGTGTGCTGGGCTTTTGTATACTTACAAACCCTTGTCAGCTCTGTCAGAAAATAGCAAATACCTTAGAAACTATTTGACTAGAAAGGAAAGTTTTGAAATTGACATTGCATGAGGTTTTGAACACGAACAGTTGACCATAAGAGACTTTCTTAATTGTAAATGTCAAAACTCAATTGACATTTTTGTATTCTGAAAGGTAGAACACATCAATTTGCAAGTACAGGAGCAAGTAATTGGTATTTATTGCAGTAATTTTTTCCTGAATAACTTCACATTTTCAACAACAACAAAAAAAACCCAGCAGCCTTGTAAACAAATTAACAACCAACAATGTAATACTCAAATTCTCAAATTATACAATACAGATCAGGACTAGGAAAATATACAAAACTGAATATTAACATCCTCTGAAAATGCACTCAAAAATAATGTAAAATGGGAGAATCACCCATGTGCCAAGCTAACTAAAATATAGTATAATCTTCTATGGAGACTGTATCTGATTAAAGTATGAATTCTTTAGAGAGGAATAGAAGTGTTTACTCTTCCTATTAGACTGAAGAAAGATTGCCAAGAGTGGCTCATGTTGACAGTATAGTTAAGAATAAAAATCACAGGACACTGGTTGCATGTTGAGAGAAATTGGTTAGTTGTTCGTCTAAAACGCGTGTTAATACATTTTTCTGCATAAAAATACCACTATTTGCCCTTCTTCATAATTTTCCATTATACTTCTCATCCCTTCTACATTTGGGAATGTTGCTCTCCTAATCCTCTTCTGTCTTCCCTCACATCCAATATCTCTCTTTAAGGCATAAAAATGTTAAATCTTACCTGACACTAGAAAGCAGTAATATTGCTTCTCTGTACTGATCCTATGCATATTCTCAGCTTCTAAACTCCGAGGGCTCTCTGCTTCAAACTCTGCTCAGCATAAACTTAAGAAAATAAAAATCCTATAAAGGCCCCAGGTCCCATCCCAGCAATTCAAGGCACACCTTCTTTTAGCACTTCATAACGACATGTTCTACAAGAACTCTTTTTAACTAGGGAATGGATAGCAAGTTTTCTGCTTAATAAGTCACACGAGGTCTTGGATTGCTGTTCTCACTGACTGGCCTGAACAGACAGTGGTATTAGTGTTTCCACCAACAATCTGGAACCAGACAAGTTGACAGAAGAGACAGAAATGGAAGACATGCTTAGACAGAGATGGATCATTGCTAGTGCTCCAGAAACAGGATGAGTGTCTCAGAAATGCATGTGGCACATGACCAGACACTCTGTGTGGCAGCCGAAGAGGAAGACAGAACGAGAAACATGCTAAGGAGGAGCAAGGAGGCTCGGAAAGAGTGAAGAGCATAAATGAAGATCGTTTGGGAAAGAGTTTTGTGGAAATTTCAAAACCCCGCTGAAGATGAATATCTGTATGAGTTCTCACTGTTCATTTTTAATTGAAATATTGTCATATATTCAGAGTTTTAAACAGAATATTGGAATCACCAGGACATCAGTGGAAGACAGAGAAGAAACTGAGAAAGCCTGTGATGTGTTTTAGGGTCCAAGTGATGGGGCTGCTCACTAAGAGGAATAGTCATGATCATGGAAGACATTCTGGTGAATAATTAGTGACCAGAGAATTTTCTAGTGTTAGTATACATTTTAGTAATCTTCCAGACTTTGTAATTATGACTATCGCAATGTTTGCATTTTCACAGAAGTAATGCCCAATAGGTTGTAAGATATAAAACTCTGTAAGCTCAGGAGCAAAGCTAAAATCTAAAACAGTGACTCCAGCTCTCTGCCCACCCTGAAAGTAAGGAGTTCCCCATGGTAAGACATTCTGGAGATGGAAAGGAAGTTAACAAGGACCTCATAGAAATTGGAGGTCATATAGCAGGCAAGTAGCATAGTAAACAGGGTCTGAGTATCAAGACTTTGGGAGTCACTCTTCTGTCATGAACACTTCCTGTCAAGAGCTGAGCTCTCTCCAGGTGTCAGATTCTATAGTCGCTAATTAACTCAACAATCTGACATCAAAGCTATAGTTGAGCCTTTATTCATTTACTATGATACTCTAGGCAAGAGGCTGGAAAGAGGGAGCCCTACTACATCAACACTCCATTGCATTTTCCCCCATAACAGCCACTGAAAGGGTAGAGGTAAGGCATGACGTAGTAGGTGATTGCTGAGGGAACCTGGACAAAAGATTCACCAAGGTTAACCTTTTGGTTTTCCTTTTTTTTTCTTTTTGTAAGAGACAAAGAAGTGCTGAATACAGAATCGGAGAGGGGAGAAGTGTGGCAAAGACCCTCGGCATGAAGAAATCTGGCAGCAATATTAAAGAGATGCCTTGAGCAAAGGTGTCAGAGAGGGCTTCTGTATCAAGACTTGAAATGCAGAGACCCATGAGCATATACCCAGCTGGGAAGGAGAGAGCGTGACTCAACTCAAAACTGCCCCAGCTCTGCGGTGGTGGCATGTGGCATGGTGGGTGGATAGCCCTTTTTTCGCCAGGGTCCAAATATTGACTCATTGTAAAATTCATCTTTACTGAACTTGTCTTAATTTGTATTTTAAAAATTGAAATACAGTAAAACCACTTACTCTCTTCCCCTCCTCCCTCCAATTCCTCCCATATATATTCCATAGAGTTCCCTCCCTCCCTCCCAAACCCTTGGCCTTTTTTTCTTTAAGTGTTACTGTTACATATGTATATAAATGTATTAATACATAGGTACAACCTACTGATTTCATTTAGTGATATTTCTTTGTCTATGTTCTCAGGAACAAGGACTAGATAACTCATTAGGGGGTTCATCCATGGGGAAGACTAATTTCTCCCCTCTCGGCACTTGTTAACTACTTAAGGTACATTTTAGTAATCCTTAAAAATAACAAACCCTCTAATTTGAAACTTATACCACCAGGGAAGTACCATTTCAGGCCCCCAGATCTAAAGTGGGTTTATAATTTCTTAATTATGAGACCTATTATCTTATATTTCATTTAAAAATATTTAAGTTAAATGCTTGTGACTAACCTAGCCACAAACCCTGAAAAGAAACTTGAGACAAAAGCTCAGTGCTGTGCGCAGGTACTGCCCTGGGGAACTGGACAGAAAACACGCTTGCTTCCCATTCCATAGGCTTTGTCTCTGGATCATCTGGGTTCAGCCAATAATCCCAAAGCTGGGACGTAGTCATCATTTTCTGCGGGCACCAAATGTTCTTTACCGATGTTCGTGTTTACACTTCGTGCCTCTGTTTAGAGACTCTCGTTTGCGTTATTGCGTAATTGAGAGTTTTCATAATGGGTTCTTGCCTAGGTTGAGTTCAAGAGCATTTGAGAAAGCACATTGTTTAACCACAACGCAATACACAATTTTAAGTTGTAATTGTCTTATCGAGTCTAATGAATGGCTGCGCAGCAGATTATATAAAAGTAGAATTTTGTCTAACTCCGGTGAATTGAAAGGGAGACATTTGCTTTACCCAGCAATAGACAGTCCAGTATTCCTGGAAACTATAATTTTATTCATTTAACTTTTGGGAACAACTTGATTTGGTTGAAAGCTTCTGTACGTAGTAAAGGAAAATGCAAGCACTCAGACACAGAAATCAGGAGGAAAAGTTTGACGTAATTTGGTGTACCCACATTTTATGAGGGGACAATCTCCTGAAAGTGTTTTCATGAGGCCAGAAGGGCAGAATAAACCCCCCTTTCAAATATAAACATAAGTGACACTGCCGTGCAGATATAATGAACTTAATTCAGCTTGCTTCTAGACAATTGGTCCCAAATGGCAGCAAAACAGCCTCTCATTGATTGCCAAACCACGAGAACACAGAACAAAGCAAAGTGTGGAGTCAAGGAAGGGAACTTCTCAGTGTATCTAAATAATACTTTTGCCTGGGGACCAATTTCTAAAACCACTTGGAGAGTAGGGAAATAGGTTGGTCTGAGTATCCATGGAAGAGATGAGATGAGGGTACCTGGGAGGGGGTGGAAGGAGGGAGGGAAAAGGGAGAGAGATGTAATTCTATCTTTATTAAAAATGTACCGAAAATAAAGAACAAAAGAGGGTAACAAAAGCCTGTAATGATAGATTTGTCATCATTCATAGTTTTAGCATTACTATTACTTAACTTCATCTAAAGTTTAGAAATCTAGAATACTTTTGGACTGACACTTTCTTAGTAATGAAAACTTTTCTATGTTCTTTATCATACTCCCATCCTTTACTTACTGTCAAAATAACCATTGCATGCTCAAGAACACAGGTTCTCAAGCCATGGGACATGGTCCCTCTGGTGGTTGAACTACCCTTTAAACAGAGTCACATATCAGATATCATGTATATCAGATATTCACATTACCTTTCATAACAGTATCAAAATTACAATCATGAAATAGCAGCAAAATAATTTTATGGTTAAGGTCATCACAACATGAGGAATTGTAGTAAAGGGTTGCAACACTGGGGAGGCTGAGAACCACTGCTTCAGATCTCAGTAAGACCCTTAAACCCATGAGTATTGCTTAAATGAAACTTTGTCTTCTTTAACCAAGCTCTTACTGTATCTTACTTAAACCACCCATGCTCAATTACAACTTCACCCTTGTCTTGATATTTTCACAGTTACCCAGCATTAGTGTAGGACAGTGTCTGCCTTGAGACAAATTGACATGCTCTGTTAGGGTGGGAGCAGTTCTGCGAATGTGTTCCAAATTCATTTGATCCTCCCAAACCTTCACCTTCAATGAAATGGCCTCGAATTTCTGTCCTTGCAGGAAGGAAACAGTGAATATTTTTTGGGTTTGCATCAAAAATAACGACAAACTTATTTTATCTTTTGAGGACCCAAAGACTGAACCAAAGCATGCCTGATAAGTTCTAGAAACAACCACTCAAGACTCACTGGAAAAGCACCCTCCCTCATACTCTGTGTTTTACAACAAAACTTAAAATAAGCATTTTAACATGGCTCAAAAGGGTGTGTGCTTCATTTTGCATATTTTTGGGTCAAAGCAGAAGACAAAGCCATTGTTCTGGATCTTGAAAAAAGAGAAGCAAGCCAAAATAAAACAACACAAAATCCTCGAGGGTTGGATAAAGCGAAGAATAAGAGTAAGAAGGATTGGGATAAGACCAATATGCCCACTGAGTATATTGTCTGCACTTAGGAGTCTGCCAATTCTTTGTGTTCAGCTGGAGCAGCAGACTGTTTCCAATGCTGGGCAATGGTAGACCAACTCTCTCAGTACAGAGGATGGAAAAACAAGAGTTTAAAGTAAACTGAAAAAACGATCAATTTCCAGGTTATGCTAGTTTGAAGCCCTAAGCCCAGTTCTCATAGAAGCATCCTTCTTCATGGTGATGAACTGATAAGCTATTATGATATTATTCTATAAAATTATATATAAATTATATATAAATACTTTATATATAAATTGTCAAAATCTTTCCAACAGTTTACTGGTCTCAATTGTGTTCAACTCCACACACCCATGCTTTAAGGTAAACAGTGTGAATAAAATGCATTATAAAGATTATTAGTGGTACAGATTATTAAACAGGAAAATATTCAGTATTAACTACATCATTGCTAGAAAACAATATAGCTTTAAATTGTACCTCTCTCAAAAATAATCCCCTTGGCTGAAATCACTTAATAATGGTATCATCCCCAATAATGGTATTGGGGACAAGATTTAAAAATGGATCAGGTCAGACACAAATAATTTCATACCAGATGTTTGCATGATGTCTGAACCGAACCTGGACATTTCAGTGTCTGAAGCTACCACGTCTAGTACATGGTCTTGTTCTCAGTCTATTTCCTAAGGTGAAGCTCAGCACTGTGGGGCTAGCCTGCATGAAAATTGTGACTCACCCCAGGAAGCGATAACCAACAGGAAAGAAGGACAGGACTTGCCACAAAGGGAGAAAGTATATTCACTCTTAAGATCAAAGTAAGGTTGAAATAATTTTAGGTAACAAGGGGTAACAAAAAGAGTAACATGAAAAATAACCATGTTGTGAACTATCTACAAAATTTAAACGTGAAAAGGCACCCTGCTGAGCAGTCTTCATCTTAACCGGAGTTAGTTTTATTATTGATCACAGAATGATTTGAATCAAAGAAGGATTCAAGATTAGGAGGTGTTTGACATCGTACAATTACACTCTCAATGTACTTACTGGAGAGGATGACACTTGGCTTATTCTCAACCGGTTTTCTAAATCTTGGACTTTATTTTTAAGTTCCATATTTTCGGTTTCTAAATCTTGGATCTAAAAATCAAAAGATCATTGAATAATTTTCAGGATTATTTCTTTCTTGGAAAATATTGGCTGTATTATCTCAGTTACCTTAGCAAAGAACATTTTATTTATAAAATTCATTTATATTTTATATTTATAAAATTCAAAAGTCTTTGGTGCACAAGGAGCATTACTTGCCACAGTTCAGCAAATATCAGAAGATCCAAGGCCACTAGGATGATAATAAATTTAAAAAAATATTGTGTGTGAAAATTTTATGTTTCTAATATTTATTTCTGTGTTTACTTGTTGAGTGGTGTAGGTGATACCCATCTTGGGGTATAGAACCACAAGACAGAAAAGCTGCCTGTGAACATGGGAGGGTGGAGACGGGGCATAATTGAATTACGAAGGAATCCGAGCTGCATGGGAATCCACTTACCCAGCATCTGCTGCCTCTGCTGCTCTGATCCCCATGAGAAGCATCAGGAAGTGAAGCAAAGTCACATGAGAACACTAAGTTCTTGTGGGAATTCAATATAAAACAGTTAAAGACTGTGCAGAGGCCCCGGGATGAAGAGTTATAGGAATATGTTGCGAGCAGCGCCCACCGTGTTAGGGACAATAAATGGCAGGCCTTCTCGGTTTGTTTGAACATACACAAATTTCCCTGTACACACACCAGACAGATGTGAAGCAAGAAGTTTAGGTTACTCACTCTCTTCTGCATCCCAGCAATCTGCTTTCTTGTTTCCACATCTTTCCCTCCAGATTCTAGAAATTTCCTGTATGCCAGATCAAATGCTTGACCAATTGTTAATGTTATTTCTTCAGCCTTTGAAAAAAAAGCCATACAATGAAGATCTGCATATTAGCAACAATTAATCAAGGCATTATTTACCCTACCCCCAAACCAACCAACCAACAAAAAACATGGAGCTCTTCAGAGACATGAGTTGAAAGTATTCAGGGCTGGCATAAAGATCTGTGGTCCCTCAGCCTCAAGAGTAAAATCAAGTGAAGAGAAAGGAGGCCACCAAAGAGCAGCAATTGGAATTAGAAAGCCCTGTGAGCTACTTTTACAAACTCCCCTCTGTTTAATTGAATAGTTTTCTGCAGCTGTTTTCTTGCTTCCTTAAATACCTAGTACCAGTTAAAGGCAAGCATCAAATTGAGTGGTTTCTCCTGCTGTCTTGTTACTGCTATCTTTTTCTAATGAGAAGGAGTTTTAAACTCTGGGCAGGTAGCATGAATGAAGTCACCAGGGGTAGGGACAGTCCCTGGACAATTCCAGGGAAGACCTCTCTAGACGGAGTAGCTAATTCCAGCTGGTTCATTGCTCCTCACATAACTGAGCAGTTTCAAACAGGGTCAGATCTTAAATACAGGCGATGAGGGCAGAGATGTGAAATTTTATATGAGAGCCTCTAATTTTCAGTGATGTTCACAATTCACATTTTTGTAAGATGGTGATAACAGAACAAAGTAGACCTGACATTGGCATTGGATCTGGTATATATTGTGTCAAGAAAAAAGATGATGATAACATAACTTATCAAAGGGCAGCTGTCATCTGAATTGGAACTGGTATATATTCTCTCAGAAAGAGACAGCTGCAGACACCCCAATTCACTACCTCATTCCTTCTTCACCTGAGTCTCCAGAGTTTCATGACATTTGCATAAAGAACTCACGAAATATTTATTTACTTAATTAAGTAGGAGTTTAGAAGGCACTAACTGATTCAATGTACAGATAAATGTTATAATAAAAGCAATGTGCCTGTTTTTAATGATAGGACAAGGGTGGTAGCTTTAAGTACTGAAAATATTCCCCTGTAACAAATCAGCATTGTAATACTTTTTAGGTACTCTAAGCTACCTAAAACATTTTCTAAAAAGTTAGATATTTAATTGACATTGTCATGTCATTAAAGGAGATCTTTGCTATATAAAATAAAAATGAAAAATGTAGGCTGTTTCAAAAATTAAAACAGAATATGACTATAAGAAATCATTATAAATGTTCCCACTGTAGACATATTGGATAGAGAGGATTCCTCCTATATTAATGATGCATGTATGTCTTGACAATACCCCAGTTTTCTACAAAGAATCAGTAGAAATTATATAAATGTAAAATTTTAATAGCATAGTATGCTTTAACCTGGAAAAGGAACTGCAGTCCGTTGTATTGTAGAATAGGCCTTCTTCTGAATTTGAAACAGAAAATGTGGGGGTTTTGTTGTTTTGAAGTAGGGTAACACTGTGGTTCCCTGGCTGGTCTGTAATTCACTTTGCGGACAAGATTGGCTTTGAACTCCTAGAGATCTGACTACTTCTGCCTCCCAAGTGCTGGAACAAAAGGTGTGTGCAACCACTCACATTCTGTCTCTGTTTGGCTTTGCAGGTCTGTGGTCATCAATGACTCTATAGCACTTATTTATTTAAAGGAAGAGAAATGTTTGGCTTGAAATAGGCCATCACTTTTCTTGTGATTGTTTTTCTTGTGGCATATTTGTGCACTCTGAAGATGTATTGTTGTGACTGGTGTAGTAAAAACCTGAATGCCCAATGGCTAGGCATGGAGGATAGATGGGATTTTCAGAGAGAGAAAGGAAGAGGAAGAGGAAGAGGAATCTAGGCATGTGAATTATGCCAGTGATATGCCAATGGGGAAAGTTGGACATACAGAATGAAGAAAAAGATAAAAAGTCACATGGTAAAATGTAGATTAATAGAAATGAGTCAGTTTAAGTTATAAAAGCTAGTGGGACAAGCCTATGCTAAGTCTGAGCTTTCATAATTAATAAGTCTCCATGACATTATTTGGGAGCCTGCTAGCAGGACAGAAGGAGACTGGTTACATTTTTTAGATTTACCTTAAATTGCAAGAATTTCCATAGAGAGGTTTTGGTAACACTGTGTCCTGCTCTTCCTAATGGTACTATATCTCAAAGCTACAGCACAAATCACAGCTAGAATACAGATAATATGGCCAAAGCACAGAAAATTTCATAACCATCCTTCACGTTGCTGTAGAGACATTTCTTTCTCAATCTGTTCTCAGCTCTTCCTCATTACACCAGCAAACATCAATTAGTTTTGTGTCTATGATTTTGCCTGTGTGGGAGAACTAAAGATGTAGAATCATGGAACACTATGTCCAGGGACTGGCCCTTTCCCTTGTCTGCAGAATCGTCAGGATGCTTTATGCATTGACAGCTCACTTCTTTCCATTGCTAAATAGGGTTCTGAGGTTTAAATGTATAAAAGACTGACTATTCACCCACTTTTTAGGGTGATTGTAGTTTGGGACTGTTAGTAACTAGGAATTCATGCAAACAAACACATATGTGTGTCTTTTTGTAAACATTATCAGGTTTGTTTTCTGTGAATATTTTAAGCTTTGATTTCTGTGTGGTGAGTTTCTAAGCCGTTCATGCAAGAGTTGGATGTTGCTTCTTAACAGACTCACAAACTGTTTACCCTGAGTGGCTTTAGCATTTAGTGTTCCCAGCAGCTCCACATGAGTCATGCCTTTTCCACATCCTCAGCAGCATTGGGAGGCTTTGTTGTAATCTTTCGGGGAGCTGTGGGATAATGTCTCAGTTTGATTTTTCAACTGCATTTTCCTAACAAATGCTACCACGGATGTCTTTCCTGTGCATCTTTCTCATCTATATGACCTCGTCGTCAATGAAATGTGATGTTTTTGCCCACTCTCTAGCTTCATAGACTTTATACTGCAGGTCACTGAGGGTTTTTGACATGAGTCCTGTCTCCTCTGAGGTTTCCAAACAACTTTTCCTGGGCTTAGCTAGTTTTGTCATCTCTGTAAGAGTCTTTTGCCCAATAGCAACCTTCACATTAGCCTACAGAAGACAATGGATGAGCCAATACTCATCAGCTGCTCTCAGTCCATTGCTATGGTGGCTTTTTTCTTCCAGGCATCTGGCAGCTACATGGAGTGACTTTATTTAAGCAATTTAAATATCCATGAACATTTCACTTTGGGATTTTGAAGGGGGAGTCAAATCGGTTTTCCGCAGCAACTCTAAGATGTGGCGGAGCACTGTGTACACTACAGTGACTTCCAGAAAAACTGAAAACCTGAATTTGTCATTTCTATTGCTTCAATTTAAACTACCTGTATTTGACATTTATGTATTTAATTGTGGAAGTTACATTATGGGGAAAATATCAGCAAGTATATTGGAGAAGATAATTCCTTATTAAGTATTAAAATACCTTGAAAATTCTTAATCTTAAAACATTTATGGAAACAGTCTTCAGAAAGAAATCTTAGAGACTTAATCTAATTGAGCTTTAAATGGCAAGACTTAAGTCTGGGTTTCTATTGTACAAAGACCATGTGAGTTCAGTAGAAATATATTCTTAGATAGTTTATGACAGAAGCAAATGCTCCAAAAGTGGATGCAACGCGAAAACTTCTCTGGAAGGTAGAAAGTATACATTTTCGTCTTCTGTTCTTTCCTTGTTTTGTTTTAAACCATTGCTGTCCTTAGGCAGCAATATAAAATGTACCTGTTTAATGCTATACTTTCCTCACCTTTGGAGTGCTATTTTGTATGCTCCCCAAATGCCACTTTCAAGGCAAATGGCATGCTCTTGAATGGTTTTAGCATGCTAGACTATTCCCTGTCCTTTCAGCATGTGCATTCCTAGTATTTTCTTATAGCTTTGCTCCTCTCCTTCCGTGTTTGATAGCATTCATTCAAGATACACTAACAGAAAGACAATTCTGATGCCAAACCATATGGGCACTGTACATGCTGCCAAATCATCCTTGAGAGTCATTGCCACATCCACAATAACACTGATTAGCTGTACTGTTATCAGTCACGTTCCTGGGACAGTGGTGGTGATCAGTACTGTCATTGTCATTACTGTTTTACCATTGGGGTGGGCACTTAGTAATACATGCTGATATTTATTAAGAATTCTAATTAAGAAACATTTCAGAGGATCCCAAGGAAGCTGCTTTCTATGTTCAAGGCATGGATGAAATAAAATTGAGCTTATTGTTTTGGTGAAAATGTAAAAAGACTGTTTTATCTTAAAATAGAAATGATTTTTAGGAATATCAGCTTTAATATTCTCAAACATACAAAGTCATCTGCAAACCACATGTTGAAAAAGCAGAGGAATATGCAACTATGGTTTATTTGTGAAATGGGATAAGTTTCAAAAATAGTGTGGTCTCCATATAAAGTTCCCTCTTGTCTGTAGAACATTGCCTTGCAGCGATAAGCATATTTTTCAGATGAGATATTCTGTAATGTTTACAAATCCCAAGTAGATCTTAGGATGCCACATAAACACCCTATGAACTTGCTTTTTAAGAGCTCTAAAACGTAAAAGATGTGGCTACTTGGGATAAATTTCAACAATGTATTTTCCATCAAGATATAAAATTACTGGGTATCTGTTATCCACCTGATACAAGGAATAGATATGAAATAAACAGGTATTTTTTTCTCAAAAGGTCTGTAAAATCAAAAATATGAATCACCTAATTTGCTATTTTTGAGAACAAGGCAAAAATAGAGTCTAAATGAGTTTAGCTCTGTTTCCATTTTAATCCAATAGCACTGTTGAGGTTGGATGGTTTTCCATTGACATATTCAATGGTTGCAATATGCGCTCAGAATTCACATCATAGGTTTCATGGCAGAACTCGGCCTTGGCTATGAAAATGAGCTCACATTCATGAGCAAGACACACGGTTTTCCTTCAGATGTTGGGTGATTCAGGAATTGTTGCATGACTCAGAATTTCCTAAGTGCCCTTACATGCTAAGAACTTCAGAATTCATTCATAGTAACACCCCCCCTCCGACACACACACACACACGGGGAAGGGGGCTCCACATCACTACTTATGCTAAGTGTTCTGAATAATAAACATCAAGTCAACGTTCAAAGAACTGGGAACATTTTAAGAAGGCATACAGCATTTATTCCTCAGCTGAAGACATGTCTTCACTAAATTCCTCATATTCCAAGAAAACCTGGGCTCACTGTTCCTCTTTGCATCATGAAGACATATGTCAATAACTTTTAAATTAAAATTTAAAATAAACTAAATGACTTTGAGATAAATACAAAGAGATAAAAGTAGCCAAAGAAATTTGCATGTGAGCTTTTGCTAACAAACATGAGCATTTAGTTAGGATAAAATTGTGAAGCCTGTTCTCACGGCAGGATGAATCTATTAGTGGTGCATTAAGTGTTTGCAGGCCTTATTCTTTTCCAAATACTTTGTTAATGCCGGAAACAAGACAATCCCTGGCTTATAAAAGAGAACAAACCACCCTAAAACATCTGGCATACTTACACACTTTTCGCTGTCAAATACATAACACAAATGTTTATTTGACTCGGAATCTTTGCATATGAAAGTGAATATCCTCTTGTCGGTTTTATCATCGGCGCAGAATGATATTCTATGAAGCTGGCAGTTATGTTGGACTTCCTGTGAACAGGAACGGAAACAAATGAAGTTGACTGTATTTTCTTCCACTTTTTGAAACGTCGGCAGCATTAATAAGACACCTCACAGTTCTAAACGTGCAGCGATAACCTGTCAAATCTTGGTCTTGGAATTGCACACGCCTGATTTTACACAAATCCGAACATAACGGAGGCGGAACGCCTGACTCATGGTTGGAACAAGACATTCGCTGCAACAGTGCACACACCAGTGCATGCTGGAGAAAGGAGGATTGATCAGTGGCTCGCAGCATTTCTGGGCCACTTTGTAGGATTCTGCGATCCTACAAAGGATCTTTAAAAACCATATTCTTCACACCTTGAACATTTACATAGGAGTATACTTAGCCCCAAAATATTAAAACATTTCAAAAGGTTTATAGAAAAAGAAGAAATTATGCCAACCTCTTTGCACTTTGTGCTACTGGTAATAATTAGCACTATAGTCTAGAACAGAACCACCTCTGTGCAAGTTTACACAAGGCCCAGTAACAACTCATTCATAGTTCTCTTACTAAATACCAGGTCCATATTGTTATTCACTCATGAATTAGCCTTTTCTGTTGAGGAAGGTCATCCTTGCAACTTTGATAGCAGAAGAACTTCAGAATTCATTCATAGTACACACCACACACACATGGGGAAGGGCGCTCATCATCACTGCCTGCAGATGATGGAATTAAGACTTCTAATGGGCAGAAAGACAATTACGGGACCAGACAGATAGAGCAGTAACATGAGAACAGATGCACACAGAGAGACCCATATATCACTGAATTATGAAACTCAGTATTATCATCAATATTATCTATTTATCACCATAGTTTTCTGAAACATGTTAGGGTTAGAAAAACATCTTATGTTTTACTTAATTATAACTGATGAAATAAAATACAATCAATAATCATTCTGTTTTCTATTCAAGCTATACGCATCCTTTATTTCAAAGTGCATTATAACACACAACGTCAGTAAGAACCTCTGGTCATCGCAGTATTTGGTGGACATGTAAAAGATTAGTGATGGGAGCTATTATAATTGTATCCAAGACTGACTAGATAATTATCTTTCTAATTTTAAACCCCAGAGTGTCTGCTATAAACATTTCCCTCTGTATTTATTACAGTTGATTCAGAAACTCAAAGACTGTCTTAAAATCAGTAGCAATGATGCCTTAGAATCTTATCTTTTTGCATTTTACACTCATGCTTGCTTTGATTTAACCTATCACTCTTATTTCTAGTTTGTTTACCACAGGGCAAGGAACCCTGACTGCTCTTTGGACTGGAGAGGGAGGGGGAGAGGAGTGGGGGGAGGGGGAGAAGAGCGGGAGGAGGGGGAGGGAAATGGGAGGCTGGGAGGAGGCGGAAACTTTTTTTTGTTCTCAATAAAAAATTAAAAAAAAACAGACTGAAAATAAGAACTTAAATGCCATAGATAACAAATGCTAAGAGAATTCATCTGCAGCAATGCATCACCTGAGGGGCAGCTTAAGGACAGGTCACCAAGCATTTGCTGGATGAGTTAAGTATGAAACACTCTCTTGACGGTTTCCATCAGACCTTTTCTTTATTCTTCGTTTTCATTCTATATTCTTTATTTTCTTGGTGATTTCCATCTCTCATTTGTGATGTTTTTTTTTCTAACTTCTTCATTGTTGATTTTTTTTTCCTTCTAACTCATTTTAACTATATTCTTTCCCTTACAGTTTACATGCCTCAACAAAATATTTCAGGCAATATAAAAATTATACTGCAGTTACAGTATATATTCTGTGTTTCAGTGAATGATTACAATGAACACAAGTAAAAAACAGAACGGTCTCCATGTTCTTTACAAGATTAAACATTTTATGTAATACAGGTAAAAAAAAAACAATTTATCCCAAGAACCTAAATACATTCATACCCAAGCAACTTGTTATAGATTAGCCATATAGGTAATCAAGATACTCTTCTCAGTCAGGTCTTTTAATGGCAGGTTGTATTTTTCAGTTACAAAGAAAGGACCAATTACTTTATTCCTTATCTTTAGAGGTAATTTTATAGGAATCTTAAAGGAATCACAAACCTAAACTTTTATACATGAAAAAGAATTAGTCAGCCATGCTTTGAGTCTTTAGTGTGCATACCAACTCATCAGGTTCTTATGTCAGGAGATAGAGGTCAGAAATAAGTATACGGAATTAATAATCATCCTTGGTCATCAATCAGTCCTAGCAAGAAAAGTACATCAATGATTAATAGTTGGGCTGCTTTGTATTTTGACCTCAGTTTTGTGTCCTCGCAAACTTTAGATTGTTTTCTGGGGTTTTTCATCTCAAAGCTATTATTGAAACATCTGCTCTATCCTGAAGGTATTTTAGAGCTTTGTTCCAGCTGATGATGCACACCGAAAGCTGTGACTGTATCTTTCAGCATTAAGATTAAAGGAATTCGAGCTGGCTTTGCTCCTGGGACTCAATTGTTTCTCTTAGTCGTTAACCTAAGCCACAGTCTATATGGCTCCTCAAGAGAAACCCATGTGTGTGACACTTCCTTGTTTTATTTTTTATCACCAAAACTCTATTTAAACTAACATTATTATCATCAATTAGATAGGACAGCTTAGGAAGGGGTCATCTTCATAATAATCCACAGATAAAAACACCCAGTAGAACGAAATGTTTCCATGAGAAAAACACACTTCATTATAGACAGTGGTGATCTCACCACACCCTACCAGATACCAGAGAAAGATTGCAGCAGTAAACACGTGAAGGCACAGCAGAAGAAAATCACATTCCATTCCGGGGTCTGTGCTCTCAGTGTCTTGCCTATCTGACATTCATCCATCAGGGAAGTACCTCCTGGCGGGCTGACTCCTTGGATGTCAATTGCCACCTGCTGCTCCTTTGACAGGGTCACACTGGCTCTTGCCCTTAATCTTTAGACCAGCAACAAGTTGTGTAAGTTTCAGACTTTTTCCTATATTTTGCCTGATAGCGCAATGATTTTTTTCACATTGACACATATTTTTTGCTTTTATATAGTCAATCAAATAACAACCCTGAGCTATACTGCAGTCTCTAAATTCTAATAGCTAGGATATATCATTAATAACTATATGACAATGTTTGTGATACATTTCCATCTCATCATTATATGGTTTAGAAAAAAGACCTAATGACTTTTTATTAGTATAAATTTTATACTAATTTTATAAATTTTATAATTTATAAAAATATAAATTATATTTATACAGTTCAGAAAAGAATGTTTTATTTTTTTCTTCTTATTTATAGGATAAACACAACATTTCTATAACTAGTGGTGGAATGTGTCATTTTTCATCCACTCAGCAACCAGTATGGAAACAGAAGACATTTGGTTGTAATCAGTCCCACATTATCATAATATTTGTTGATATTGGTGTGATGGTTTATGGGAACTATTACCATGAGATAATCCCAGAATCACACGAAGAAACGGGCCTTTGGTCATATCAGTAGGATATCATATTGATTACATTGTGGAAAGAGCCATGTTAGTGATGGATGAGACCACCCCTGGACAGAATATCCTAGAATGCATAAAGCAGAGAAGCTATAAACATGTCTTCATAGTTGTTTTCTGTTTGCGGATATAATATCACAGGATGCTTCAATTAAGGTTGCCTTGCCTTCCCCTCGATGCTCTAGTATTTTACCATATTAAAAATAAAATAAAGTAAGGCAGTTATCAAAGTCATCTTCCTAAGAAGACTAGAACTGAGGAAGACTATCACTCCATTCTCTTGGGATGACTTTTCTAGTTTGTTTTGCTTTGCTTTTTGTTTTAGGTACTAGGGATTGAACTCAGAGCTTCTTGTAGTTAGGCATAACTTGTTTTCTGTATCGAGTTAGACAGTCCATCTTGTGATAAAATTCATGGATATTAAATCCAGAACTAGTTTTGTGAGATGTGCTAAAGAGATTTGGGAATACCACCAACAAAACACACAGCGAGGAAACACATATACTTATAATCAACATCTTTGATTACAGCTGAAATTTTCAGATCAATTTGTGTTTCTCTGAATACTCTGTTTCCAGAACCACACACTACACGTAGAGAACAGCTAAAGGGAGTAGAAATGAGAAAAGCATAGGCGCTAACTGCTACAGAGATTGCATTTATTTCAATTTTTACCCATCCAAGTGGGAAAAACATAGTATCTGTAAAAGAAAGACTTTCTTGACTAATAGTGTATTTTAAAAATTCCATTTTTATTTATAGATAGATACAAACCATTCTTCTGCCCGAAGAGCTCATTCCCAATGTGATAAACTATAACTGTATCAGAAATGCCTAATGAAATATACAGAAGCTCATTAGTTTGAGACTGTCTGCCTATTTCATTTCTTGCCTAACAAATTTGCAAGCCAAGAGTATGTTAGCAGCCTAACTTTATGTACGTATAACAGAGCAACTTCAGCCAATTACATACAGCTGGGTTTTAACCAACCACTGGCAGCCAGCTCATGATACCATATCTAAATAAAGCAGACATCTAGCTGCCGCCAATTAGAAAATCTGCTTACCATATTCTTATTTGGCCTTTAAGGCTTATTGCTCATGCTCGTGAACTATTCTGAGTATTGCCTGACTTATGACATATTATATTGCAGTGGCAAGAATTAAGTGGGGGCGGAGGTTGGGAGCTGGAAGAAACAAAGGGGTTGGGAGAGAAGATCAACTAAAACTAACAATATAGGAAAAAAAAAAACCAAAGGAAGAAGGATAACTGGTAAGATAGGCTAGAATTATAAAATGTAGAAACAATGAGTTTAATTAGAAGGACCCTGAATAGGTAGATAAAGTTTCTCCTAAGAAACAAGTCGTTAAATGAAAATCCCTGTGTCAGGGGTAGGCTAGCTCATATGAGTGGCTGATTCAGGATTCCCCTGAGAACCCCAAATAAAGAGGTGATCACCACTGTTGGTGGATGTCTAACAGAACTAGATGGATAGACCTTATTGCTGAAAATGTCGTAGTGTCAGCCATAGGACATGGAAAAATCAAGTTGAGCTTTCTGCTTTTTTTTTCCAACTTGAAATGTTAATTTATTGCAGTTATGTTTGGAACCTATATTGAACACTGCAAAATCATTTGAAATATTTTTTAATTAATTAATTTATTTATTAAAGATTTCTGCCTCCTCCCCGCCACCACCTCCCATTTCCCTCCCCCTCCCCCAATCAAGTCCCCCTCCCTCATCAGCCCAAAGAGCAGTGAGGGTTCCCTGCCCTGTGGGAAGTCCAAGGACCTCCCACCTCCTTCCAGGTCTAGTAAGGTGAGCATCTAAACTGCCTAGGCTCCCACAAAGCCAGTATGTGCAGTAGGATCAAAACCCCGTGCCATTGTTCTTGACTTCTCAGCAGTCCTCATTGTCCGCTATGTTCAGCGAGTCCGGTTTTATCCCAGGCTTATTCAGACCCAGTCCATCTGGCCTTGGTGAGTTCCCTATAGATCATCCCCATTGTCTCAGTATGTGGGTGCACCCCTCGCGGTCCTGACTTCCTTGCTCGTGCTCTCTCTCCTTCTGCTCCTGATTTGGACCTTGGGATTTCGGGGGGAGGGGGGAATTCAGGATCAACCTACCCCTGGACCCAGCAATATCACTCTTGGGAATATACCCAAGAGATGCCCTATCATACAACAAAAGTACATGCTCAAATATGTTCATAGCAGCATTGTTTGTAATAGCCAGAACCTGGAAACAACCTAGATGCCCTTCAATGGAAGAATGGATGAAGAAAGTATGGAATACATACATATTAGAGTACTACTCAGCAGTAAAAAACAATGACTTCCTGAATTTTGCATGCAAATGGACGGAAATAGAAAACACTATCCTGAGTGAGGTAAGCCAGACCCAAAAAGAGGAACATAGGATGTACTTACTCATAATTGGCTTCTAGCCATTAATAAAGGACATTGAGCCTATAATTCGTGATCCTAGAGAAGCTAAATAAGAAGGTGAACCCAAAGAAAAACATATCGTCATCCTCCTGGATATTAACCTTCATCAGGCGATGAAAGGAGACAGAGATCTTCTTATTGGTTTGCCCTCACAGTGTCAGGAGGTGCTGTGCAGGCTGCTAAGGAAGAATTGCTATCCAGTCTTCCACAATTCAATCTTTGCAGGCTATACTATCCACTGGACTGGCAGATGAGCTCATTGGTACAATTGTAGAAAATCTATATTAGTGAGACAACCAATTACTTTCTAATTGGATTTGAAGTCTGCACCAGAGGAGAGAATTCCTGTCTGGCATTGTAGTCCTACAGTCAAAGCCTTTAGCCACAGAAGTCCTATAAATCCTAGTAAGGAAATCATGGCTGCTGTTTACTAAATGGACATAATGTGTCAACAAATCACCTCCTAAATAACTAAATTTATGCCCACAGATTAATGGCATCCATTTGGACCATGAAAGTTTTCTTTGCACTGCAGTGGTAACTTCAGGGACTTGTGGTTGCTGAGATGATGAGAATAAGTAATTGCTGAGTACTCCTCTGTAAGTTACACATCTATATTACTTCCTTCAGGGCTCAGGGGGCCTCACAGAAGATGAAAGGATGCCAGAGCCATAAGGAAGGGATGGGGAAATGTGGAATTACCGGCTTCTGGGGTATGGCGTGCTTGTTGAATTCAGAACTCAATGCAGCTGTAATTACCTACACAAGACCAGCACAAGCTTGGTACTAACAGAAATCGTGTGAGTGGTGGCAAAAAGCACACAATTCCAATCACTTCAACAGGCTCTAGAGAGAGTCTACGGTGAAGGTAGAGAACTTTCCCTCAGGTGAATAGCATATAATACAGTGAGAAGCCCCTTGCCATGTTCCTGTAAGCACGAGTAAAACTCATTGGGGAAAAAAAGGAAGATGGAAGTAGTAGGGGCACTGATTGGCGCAAAGAAAGGGAACTGTTGGGAGTAGGAAGCAATCAAGAAAAGGTGATTGCAATAACCAGGATTAAAATATATTGTATACATGTTTGATTAAGTTATAATGAAATTCATTATTATGTTTAATTAATATATGTTGATACAAATATGAAACTTTGTCTTAAAATTAAAAAATTGGAAATAAGGCATTTATATGGGTAATACAACTCATATAAAAGCATTGTATGATCCTTAATTCAATCTGGTGTCCTTTTTAAAAACAAAACAAAGCAAACAAACAAATAAGTAAAACCCAGACATACAAAGAATCTCAAGTATGTGCACATATGAAGATACAGCTGTGCCAGAGGAGAAACTGAGTGTGTGGACACATGAATATTAAGATTCTACGTTCACAACTACAAAGGAAACAAATTGCCATTGCTTAATTTTTCCAGACGTTGGCATTTTGTTATAGCAATCCTAGAAAACTAATACACATCAATTGAATCCACAGGAAAGGACATTTTAATAAGGCACAGCTTTTGTCTTCTTTCATACCCAGCAAACCATACCCTATGCATCTTGCACATAGAGGGATAGAAATCACTAAATACAGGCACTACCAGTACTGAATCTACTTTATATAAGTTACTATATGTGGGGCATAGACTGCAGGTAGACAATACCAAAATTCCAAAAGTTCTTCCCTTTCTCCAAATTGCTACACATGTTTAAATAAATCGCCAAGCACCAAACATTTAAAGTTGGTAATAAATGTTAAATATCCATGAAAATAGATGTAATTGTCACTGATTGAAGAATAGGTCCACATAACTCTCAAAAAAACAAGGCTTACCTTTGTTTTGGGTTCAAGAATTTTTACTCCGTAAATTGATATTTGCAATTCAACTTTAGGAATCTTCTGGCCTTCTGATTTCTTGATGTGTCTTGCAAACTATAAATAACAAAAACATTCACAAAATTGTGATTCCATGACTGTGGAATATGAACATAAATGGACATTTGGAGTTTGTGTCTGTAACCAACATTCATGAATTCAGGGACTACCCATTACAAAGCATTTTGTAGAAACAGTTTTGCTCAGTAACCCTCTCTGTCTGTAACCGTAATTCAGATTCATTCGCAGTGACTTGTATTTTCTGTTTCCTTTGGTTTTTGTTTGTTTGTTTGGCTTTTCTTTTTGAGACAGGCTCTTTTTCTGTTTTCCATGTCAGCCTTGAAATCATTATGTAAATTCAGCCTGCGATCAAATTTATAACAATCCACTGCCTTAGCCTCTCAAGTGTTGTGATTTCAGGTATGAGACACTATGCCTAGCTGATTCTAATCATTAAACACCAACAAAAACACCCTTCTAAAAAATGCCAAAACCTTGACTTTCATACATTTTCCATGGCATTTAAAGGGCTGAATGTGTATCAACCAGCAAAGAAACCATATGGGATAGTAAGTACTGATGTCCTCATTTTGAGATCATTTTATTTTAATGTGTTCTCAGAATTTGCTGTTCACCTGCTGTTGAGTGACAGCTACCTAGTTGGGTACATGACCTATCAGTCAAATCAACAAAGATGATACCAACTGATATATCTAAACCAAAGCTGAGAGCTCCAGTCATTTTACCATGAATGACTCCTTTGTGGGGACAGAGGTGGTCTAGAATCACAAACACAGCCAGCATCTTGTAGGCACAATGGTTTCTACTTATTTTCATAGCTATAGTATCATGTCTTTCTACTCATTTAAATCATATGTTCAGGTCTTTGTAAAATACCAAGAATATCATTCTACTCTCACGCAGAGGAAGTTTCTGCCTGTCTCTCCCCAGCTTCTCCAGATTTAGTGGAAGAAAAATTATGAATACAACTGAATTTTAGTATTAAACAATAGACATGTTTACAAACTTAATATTAGAATACATACAAATATTTACCTAAGCACATATATATATATATATACAACATATATGTGCTGTTAGAATAAGTATGTCCTGGGCAGTATTTTGTAATCCTTTTTAGTTTAATTGCTATTTACTTGAATCCACGGTTCACCGGATGTCCCAATTTCTGTTCAACTTCCTATTTTCTTTGGTTTACTGGGTGTTTTACTTTCTGGTGGCAACCCCTCTGACCCCCTATTTTCTTTCTTAGTTCCTTCCCTTTATATGACTTTAAAAAAGAAGGAAAGAAAGGAGACTTTTAAAGTAGTAGGATTGCATACCCCACTGCTAGGGCTTCTACAACTCATTTTCAGCATATGGAAAGTCCTTTGAACTTGATTCTGAAGGATCAGATGTGAGGTCGGGCAGAGCTCCAGGGCTCTTGTGTGTCCTATTTATTTGCATTGCGCAATCCATTCTAATCTAGGGCAGATGTGAGCATGCATGGTAGTTGTTCCCGGGGCAGAGTGCTCAAAGCCTTCTTATTTATGTCTTTGCACTGCCACAGAGAGGAGCTCAATTAATGCTTACAGGAGTGCCTTTAAGTATCTGCCTTCGAATCCCAGCCGCTGTTACTTGTTTTGTACCCACTTTGGGTGGCATACTTTTCCAGTCTGCTTTTTTTCCTGTGTTCCTTTGACATAAGCTGCTTCATTATTATTGTTCTTTTGCCTGTAGAAGTCTTACAGTGTGCACATGACACCCAATGTATGCCAAATACTTCTCGGTCTTTAAGAAACATGTTTTGCTTCCATGTAGTGTTATTCAGCTCTCCCTCAAAGCGTGCATATTAGCTGTCTTTCCCAATTGTAGTATACTTTTGACTCAGTATAATTAAGGTTTCCGTGCATGAAACACTAAAAGTACAGGAGGGTCTGTGTTCTGTACTTATGGAAGGATACCTGAGATAAGCCACCTTGTACTGCTTGCAGGGCCTCACAGTCACTTCCAAGGGCTTTTTCGCCATCTGAAAACAGCAATTCCTGTGACCTCAGACATGAATCCCATAACCTTGTGTTTTATGAAAATATTGTTACAAAAAGCCAGTAATTTAAAACTTGTCTGTTTAGAAAGGGACAAATGAATGGAAGTAATGAAGAAAGGAAAGAGAGTGTTGATATCACACATGTACACACATACACACACACACACACACACACACACACACACACACACGGAGGAGGGCCGGAGAAAGCAGGAAAGGGATGATGAGACCTAAACAGCTGGTATAAGCCCCTCTGGTATCACTCCCCTACCTCATGTCAAGACCAAGTTAACAGTACTAAAAAAGCCTTGAGTTATCAATCCTCCACCAACCCAAACTGTATTCCCTAACATCCTTACACACCGCAATCATGAAATGGGCTGGGAACAAGCATCATGGAGGATGCACTTGCTCCCTTGCACCCAGACATCTTCCTTTACCATCACACTCCCCATTCGTGTTTCATGTAAATATCAACATTCCCATCAGTTTTGTGACGTGATTGCTGAAAATATATCTGCAAAAGTCTTGCATCTAGAATTAGACTCACTCTAAGCTTAAATAATTTGATAATCATGGTCTCTCTGCTTTTTTTCCCTAAATTTCAAGCTCACTGCTCACAAAACTTTTCTCCCATCTTAAGTCTCCTTGATTTTCTTACTTGTGGACTTCTTAACTGTCTTCCAAAATTCTTCTAATTCTAGAGTGATGAGAGACAATGCATGACATATACTCTCTTATCCTTGGCTATATTCCTTTTCTTATTTATTATTTTAATGTAAATCCTTGAAGAGCCTTGTTTGCAAATGTCTTTCAATTTTTTCTCTGAATTCCTTCCTGTGTAGACCTACATAGATCTATCCTTGTAAATTGAACATAATAATCCAATCCAACAAAAAGCTTCAAAGGACATAAAACATAAGCATTTTAAACACCAGTACAATACAGGATCAAGACACAGTCTTTGCTTCCATAAAATGATGAAAAAAATTGAAATTATAAAGTAAGTTAAACATGTGTTAGTGCTATTTAGAGCTTGTCATGAAAGTTTATAGAACATTGAGTTTTGACGCCCACATTACATGATTTCCATACATCTCTCAAAGGACATTTTAAAAAGTGAAATCTAATTCTATTACTAAAACTAATAGGATACATGCTAGTGGGCAGGAAAATTAATTTATTTCTTAGACCCTATTATTTGGCAATTCTATGCCGCTTTGTGAATGTGTATTTTTCCTTTATTGAAAATAGATTCTCCCATGAAAGTACTAACCAGGCCCAATCCGGACTGCTCTTCAGACTGGAGAGAAAGGGGGAATGGAGTGGGGGGGAGGGGGAGAGGAGTGGGGGAAGTGAGAGAGGAGTGGGAGGAGGCAGAAATTTTTTCAATAAAAAAATAAAAAAAAAGAAAATAGATTCTCATACAATATATTCCTAATTATAGTTCTACTTCCTCTACTTTTCCCAGTTCCTTCCCACCTCTCTGCCACTCCAAATTCACTCCCTCTCTCTCAGTCTCTAGTTAGAAACAAACAGGTTAGTCAGAGATAATAACTAAATATGACATAAAAAAAAGATAATACAAACAAGTAAGAGCTGTCATATTGAAGTTGGGCACAGTCATCCAGTAGGAGGAATAGAGTCTTAAGAGCAGGCACAAGAATCCAAGACCAACTAGGTCTCACTGCAAGGAATCCCATAAAAATACTAAGCTAATAGTTATAATATATACACAGAGGATCTGATGCAGACCCATGTATACCCTGTGCATGCTACTTCAGTCTCTCTGAACTCATGTATCCCTTGTTTAGGTGATTCAGAGGGTCTTGTTCTCCTGGTGTCCTCCATCCCCTCCTGTTGTTACAATCTTTCCATGTCCTCTTCAATGGGATGCCCTGAAATCTGAGGGGAGGGATTTGATGGACAATTCCAGGTGACTCTTCCCACACTTTCTCCTTCCACCCAATCTTATCCCAACCTGATCCCCAACTCCTGTCCCCACCTACCCCCAGGTTGATCATCAAATCTATTCTATTTCCTCCTCCCAAGGAGATCCCTGCATCCTTCAGACCCTTCCTCTTTACCTAACCTCTCTGGACCTATGGATTGTAGCTTGGTTATAATTTGTTTTATGGCTAATATCCATTCATAAGAGAATAAGTACCATATCTGTCTTTCTGGGTCTGGGTTACCTACTTAGGATGATTTCTCTACTAGTTCTATCCATTTTCATATGAATTTCATTGACTCATTTTTAAACACAGGTAAGTAATACTTCATTGTCTAAATGTGCCACATTTCTTGAGTTGAGGAACGTCTATGTTGTTTCTAGCTTCTGACTACCATGACTATGCTACAATGAACATTGCTGAGCAAAGGTCACTATGGTAGGATACATCATTTTTTTACTATATGCCTAAGAGTGGATCTTGAGGTAGATCCACTCCCAACTTTTTAAGTATTTGATTGCCATAGCGGCTGTACAAGTGTGCAATCTCATCAGCAATGGAGTGTTCCCTTTATTCCATATCCTCCTGAGCATGAGTTTTACTTCTATTATTGATCTTATCAGGCATAAGATAGAATCTCAAAGTAATTTTGATTTGCATTTCTCTAATGGATAAGAATATTGGACCTTTCTTTAAATGTTTCTCAGCCATCTGAAATTCCTCTACTGAGAATTCTCTGTTTAGATCTGTATCATGTTTTTCAATTGGGTTATTTGGCTTTTTGATCTCTCTATTGGATGTGTAGTTGGTAAAAAATACTTTCCCACTCTGCAGGCTACCAGTTAGCCTGATTGACAGTGCCTCTTGTCTTACAGAAGCTTTTCAGCTTCATGAGGTCCCATTTAATAATTGCTGATCTTAGTGCCTATACTATCAGTATTCTGTTCAGAAAGTCATCTATGTGGCAAAAGTGTTCTGGCTATTCTCCACTTTCTCTTCTTTCAGGTTCCGTGTATATGATTTTATTTTGAGGTCTTTGATCCACTTGAAGTTGTGCAGAGTGATAAATATAGATTTGCATTCTCTACATGCAGACATCCAGTTTGACCAGCACCATTTGTTGAAGATGCTGTCTTTTTCGGTGTGTATTTCTGGCTTTTTTAAAAAATCCAAATTCAAATGTCCATAGGCATGAGGATTTATTTCTAGGTCTTCAATTTGATTCCATTAATCAATGTATCTGTTTTTATGCCAATACCATGCACTTTAAACATTAATATAGCTCTGTAATATAGCTTGAAATCTGGGATGGTGATACCTCCAGAAATTCTTTGATTTTACAGCATTGTTTTAACTATCCTATTTTTGTTTTGTTTTGTTTTTGTTTTTAAATGAAGTTTAGTATTGTTCTTTCAAAGTCTGTAAAGAATTGTGTTGGAATTTTGATAGGGATTGCACTGAATCTGTAGATTGGTTTTGGTAGGATGGCCATTTTTATACTGTTAATCTCACTGATCCATGAACATGGGAGATCTTTCCATCTTCTGATATCTTCTTCAAACTCTTCAAAGATTTGAAGTTTTTATCATATACATCAGTCACTTGCTTAGAGTTATTTATATAATTTGAAGCTATTATGAAAAGCGTTGTTGGCATGAAATCTTTATCAGTCTAGCTACTGATTTGTTTGTTTATATATAAATATGTGTATATATACGTATACATTTATATATATATATATGATTGATTGATATATATGTATACATTCATAAATATGATTGATTGATATATTGACTTTAGTTAAACTTATAGCCAATCTCTTTCTAAAAGTATTTCTCAGCTGTAGGAGTTTCCTGGTAGAAATGATTAGGGTCACTTATGTATACTATCATATCATCTGCAAACTATTTGGCACTCCAAGGCCACTTTGTATTTCTTACACTCAAGTTGCTAAAATAGTTCTAATAATCATGCTGGGTTTTGTTTTTGTTTTTGTTTTTGTTTTTGTATAACTAGGTTCTAAATAGTTGGTCATTTGAAGAAAAAGAACTCTGAAGACACAAGAGAATTGTAACCCAGAGTGAAATCCAATGATGAAGGCCTAAGCTGATGAAAACATCTTGTCAGTGACTCCAAAGGCTGAATTACATTGAAGCAGCTTCATGTATTTAAGTGGAACCTCATTAACTGGAGACAGCCCTTTCAAACTGGGGCCAAAACATGTTATCTCTACGCATGTCTGAGGGAGGCTACTGAGTTACTATCCATGTCCTAGTGTGTATGCATAATTTAACATAACGAATTGTGAATACACACTGAGTCCTGGTGTTTGAACTGATTGTCTTGAAACAGATCCCGTCTGAAAATGAAACTCATAATGAAAACAGTGCTGAGTTTTATAATATCACATTTTTAAATACTTACTGGTTTGTAAATGTCATGCTAAATTCATAATTAAGAAATAGAAATGTGATATGTCATTTTGACAAGCAGAAGGTATTTTTATTCTTACACAAGTTCTTACATTAACATTCGCAAACAATGAATTCTCTATAGTCACCAAACAGTGACTAGCCAAATCATTAGAAACATTCTGTTAAAAATCAAGCAGATATGATGAAGTGCAAGAGTATAAATATAACATTACTGAAACTTCTTTAAGATTTCTAACTGCCTTATTATACTTAAATTTTTAATTTTTACCTAATGTCAAAAGGCAATGCATTTAAAATGCTAACTTAGAAAACGGAGTAAATATAAATAACATTTTTAGCTACATGAGAAAAAATGAGTCCAACACTACAATGTATTTACTAAAAGAGCCAGGACACATGTGTTTGGGAAAAAGAAGCAGAAAATCAAAATGGGGTCACAGACATTTGAAAGTTTCTATTTCCAGTGGATCCACAGCGCCACCCAATGGCCACATCCATAGGATAGCAAATTAAAAATACGTGTAAATATTGATACATTTTATCATAGCTCTGACCTCAGACACAGCATAAGAGAAACAATTTCAACAAACTCAGATAAAAACCATCATCTTACTCATATTCACTAATGCAAAATTCTCTCTTATACATATTTACTTTGTTGAGAAACCAATTCTTCAACCTATACAATTTATTTGTTAAATGCATATCAATTGTGAAAGACGCATGTTTAATAAAAGCTACTGTCCGTTAAGTATACATTTTAACTCTATTGTTATTTTTCAATATATTCCCCCCAAACAGTTCATTTTTAGGTATTGAACTCTATAGCTATGCCATTTAAAACCTCATATAAACTAGTCATAGATTTAGAAGCCATTTAAGTTAAAGTATCTCTTTGGCATAGTCATAAGGTAATTGAACCATTTTCATTTCATATTAGAGATAATGGATTAAGAATTCCAAACGTATAAAGAAATATTGCAACACCATTGTTCTTTTAAGATATGTTTTGGTTGCAGTAAAGTTGTACTCAACCCAGGACTTGGACCACTATTAAAACAATTAGAATCATATTTTAAGTGTTGCCACAACCTACAAGGTCATCAATAAAACCCTCTATTGCTGACTAAAAATGTTGTTCAGATGAAGACCAGCCTGAAACATTGCCTAATGACAATGGGAAGAAATGGCTCATGAGAGAGAGCATTTTCCTTAAATGTGAGTGATATTATCCTGGGAGCCCAGAATGTCTACTTCGAGGACTGTATCAAATAATCACAAGAGTGAATGGATGAAGGCACGCCCTGCTTTATTTCTTTATCCAGAATATAAATCTCATTCTAATCTTTTCCCTTAACTTAAACTTTGCATATACTTTATTTGACCTTCTCAAACCATAGTAGTAATTTTTAATGTTCATGATTCAGCTTGGAACAAACCACAGGGCTTAACAGTCCTGTGGAAAGAGCTCACCTCTAGAAGCAAGGTCACAGAAAGGTTATCTCCCATCCACCAAACTGTGAAAGCAGCCACAGAAAATAAAAGCTAACTTAGCAAATAAAGTAGTGATATGCAGATCGTCTTAGGAATATGAAGATGCCTGACCTCTTGAAGGAGTTCTCCCAACTGACTTTTGAGAGGTGGGTTTTACAGAAACATTTTTGTGGTGTGTAGTTATAAGATTTTATCAGGAACCTTGGTGAATGTGAGTTCATGAGATTGCATATTTTTTTTTCCTCAAGAAATTTATTACTTGTGAATACTTAGGTGGTTTAATCAATATTTTCTTCTGTTCTCTTAGTTACACAGTCTCCCCTAACATTGCTGATTGGCATGACCCATTGGGACATCCTTAATATATAGCAGTATTTCCAAAGTCTGTTGTGCAATCAGCTGCAAAAATATTTTCAGCTAAAAAAATATTTTAGCTGGTAGATATAATAATTTAACTGTTATAGATTTTTATGATAGTACTACTAGTTTTGAGCTAGAGCATGGCTTCACACTGGCCAAGAAATACAAAGGCAGACCACTGAATATAAACACTAAGGGAACTTGACCCTAAAAGCTTTTAGTTACTGTAAGAAATGATACTTCAACACACTGAGACAATGGGGATGTTCTACTGGGAACTCACCAAGACCAGCTGGCCTGGGTCTGGAAAAGCCTGGGATAAAACCGGACTCTCTGAACATAACGGACAATGAGGACTACTGAGAACTCAAGAACAATGGCACTGGGTTTCTGATCCTACTGCACGTACTGGCTTTGTGGGAGCCTAGGCAGTTTGGATGCTCAACTTACTAGACCTGGATGGAGGTGGGGGGTTCCTTGGACTTCCCACAGGACAGGGAACCCTGATTGCTTTTCGGGCTGAGGGGGGGGGACTTAATTAGGGGAGGGGGAGGGAAATGGGAGGCGGTGGCTGGGAAGAGACAGAAATCTTTAATAAATAAATAAATTTAAAAAAAAAGAAATGATACTTCATAAAATATGGTACGTACAGAAAAATAACTATGATTTATACTTTAAAATGTCTCCTTGAACAGGTGATAGTTATTTAATTGTTATTTATTTATTTATTGAGCTGAACATCTTTCTCCACTCCCATCCCTTCCTCCCCACCCCCCCATTCTCTCCCATGACCACCATGCTCCCAATTTACTCAGGAAGTCTTGTCTTTTTCTCTTTCCTATGTAGATCCATGTATGTCACTCTTAGGGTCCTCTTTGTTGTCTAGGGTTGTGGACTATAGGTTGGTTTTTTTCCTTTGCTTTATGTCTAGAAGCCACTTGTGAGTGAGTACATATTAAATTTGTCTTTCTCTGTCTGGGTTACTTACTTACTATATTTTTTTCTAGATCTATCCATTTGCATGTCACTTTCAAGATGTAATTGTGGTTGGGTTTTTTTTTTTTTTCATTTTCTTTATCCATTCTATGGTCGAGGGATTGAAAAGAGGGCTTAGCCATTAAAGGCTAGGCTCACAACCAAAAATATTTAATTATAATTTAAAGAGTGGAGCTATACCTACCAGAGTTATGCATGTTTTCACTTCCATCAATCTGCCGATGGGATGGCATGAGACCGATACACTAGTTCTTCTGAAGGTTTTCCTTACCTACATGAGACCGATACACTGGCGGTTCTTCTGAGCGCCTTCCTTACCTTTAGTTTCCTCACAGCGTCTCTCACGACTTCTGTCCCCTTTGGCTGCTCCACTTCTGTGCTGCCAAGAAACTGAACATGAGCATTCATGAGACACAGGCTTCACTAAACCACCTGGAGCCAACACCCTGCATACGGGAAAGTTAGGCAAAACAATCCAAACACAAATCCTAATTCAGGAGAGCAGTTGTTATTCAATTTGTACATAGCACATGAAAATACGTTATTTGACCATTTATAATTCCTATTTTTCAAAAGATTTTTTAAAAATATAGTTTACTATATATTTTACTTGAAGATCCTACTAGAAAGAAAACTGAAATTATTTCATTGTCTCTGAAGAGATAAACTTAATCTTGAGGTAAAAGTTAGTAAATATGCTAATTCCGTGTTATTGTCTTTTTATTATAATGGCTGATTGTTATAATCAGTCATTTTCTCAAGGCTAAAATACACCCAGAAAAATAAAATACACCCAGAATGATGTGCACTTTTGAAAGTTTAAGTTCAAAAGATATACATGCTTTATGTGGTTACTACATTAAACTGTAATAGAATCTTTAACATTTATCATTCCAAATAAGCATTTTTCTTTGTTTTCAAATTATTAAACTCCTATAATATGTAGAATCTAAAAGTCATATTTTAAAACATTCAGTATAAACTGTTCAATAATGTACATACACTAAATGTATAAACTAAAATATACACAACCTACAAATTCACTATTTTTCTAAAATAACCCTGAAGTTGCTAGAGTTTTGTTAAAGCTTGGGAATAATCCCCAGTGTAAATATCCTAAGGATCATGACCTTGTGTGTCAGTGCCGATGCTGGAGTACATTACATCTCCCAACAAAGGCCACCATGTCAGCTCATTGCACCAGAAGTCTGTGGTTTCTCTCCTTGAAGTGTTCTTCATAGATCGCAATTAATCAGTAAACTCATCAAGTGTACAAAATTTCCCAAAGACTATTCTGTTCTTGTCATATACCACAGATCATAATACCAAGTGGCATCACTTTTCATAGCTACGGGGTGCGTGCACATTTTAGAGGAAGTGATTAAGTAAAGAATCCTGATAAGATTCTGTGTGTTAATGTGCAGAACGGAAGAGAATAATAAGGTCGCAGCATCTCATTTTCTTTGCTTCAATCTTGAAAAATGAAGTAGTAATTAATCTAGGTCCTCATTTTTCTTTCTTCTTAAAGAAAAGGATGTGCATGGGTGTTTTGCCTACTGTACGGGTGTCCTCCTGGAACTGAAGTCACAGAGAGTTTTGAGCTCTCACGTGGGTTTGGAGAACTAAACTGGGGTCCTCTGGAAGAGCAGGCAGTACTTTGAAACACTAAGTCAACTCTCTAGTCCCTCCCATTTTAAAACATGTTCTCTGTCCTGTCCTGAGAATTACTGTGATAGAAAATTAAGCAATAAGATAAGGAATTTCCTTTGTCAAACATATCAGACTCTCTAGGGATACGTTCAGGAAATTATTTTCCTGAGGCTGATTCTCTGCACTGAAGTTTGTGAACAGCTGGCAGAGAGCAGGAGATGGAAGCAGTAGACAGAGGACAAAAATGTGAGCTGAAAACACTGTGGCTTTCCCTCTGAGGAGCTCATGCAGGGAAGAAAGTATGGTACCTCTGCACTGAGATTAAGATACAAGACTATTTTTCTAACTAGGACACACAGGTTACCTTAAACAACTGTTCCTGAGGCTTAACACAAGCTCTCCTAATGGTGACACCGTGTTGTTGACTGATTAGGTGTACACAGAAGACTAAAGAAAGAGATTCTTTGTTTACGAAGTGGGTGACCCTTTAATCCCAGCACTCGGGAGGCAAAAGCAGGTGGATCTCTGTGAGCTCGAGACCAGCTTGATCTACAAGAGCTAGTTCAAGGATAGGCTCCAAAGCTACAGAGAAACCCTGTGTCAAAAAAAGAAGGAGGAGGAGGAAGAGGAGGAGGAGGAGGAGGAGGAGGAGGAGGAGGAGGAGGAGGAGAAGAAGAAGAAGAAGAAGAAGAAGAAGAAGAAGAAGAAGAAGAAGAAGAAGAGGAAGAAGAAGAAGACAGTGACAGCTAAACATAGCTGGACATCAATTGGCCTGCCACAGTCTTCTGTTTTACATCAGTATTTTTAACCTTGATCTCATGAAAGATCTTCCCAAGGCTGAGTGCAGTTATCACCCATGCCTACCAGTTATATTTCATAGGTCTGCAGCAGAGCCAGGATGTCTGCACATATTAATCTCCAGAGCTGGTATGAAGGTGCCAGGGGTTGGAAAGCACCATGTCAGGTCACATAAAAGATGAAGGGTTCAAAAACAGAAGGTTCAACAGAAAAGAAGCTTTATAGATTAAAATGAATGGATATAGGGTAGACTCCTTCCCTCAGCTTCTCTGAATTTTTCAAAGCCAGTGACAGACTCACCACTAAACTATCATTAGCAAGAAGAGTAAGGGGCTACTGCTTTATATAAAGGATTTGAGAAGCTCAAACATGATGTACTAGAATGAGCTCGCTAACATTTTCACACTCCCAATCTAGAGCTCCTTCTAGTACATCATAGGACACACACTCTGAGTTTAATCCCAGCATTACATGAAACATATTATGCCTGTAATCCCAGTACTCTGGAGGTACCAAGGCAGAAAAATCAAAACTTCAATAGATAGGCATGGTGACACACTCCTTTAATTGCAGATGGAGTTCTGTGAGTTAGAGGATAGCCTGGTCGATGTAGTCAGTCATACAGTGAGATCCTTTCCCACACACAAAAGGACAAAATCATTCCCAGCTAAACAGGAAGTTCAAGGTCATTGACACAGCTAAAAGTAATGTATAATGTTGGAGGAGTTAACATATTGCAAGTAATATTATGGAAGTTGGGAATGAATTAGAGAACCAAATGAAGCAAACAAACAAACACCCTTGTTCGCTGTATTGGTAGCATCAGCGTTGTCAGTAAAAATTGTTTTAAATATGAATTCCAGTGGCTCATAAACAACGAGGGACCTAGCCCCATGATTCTGTCTCTCTTTTCCACCATCCTCACGAATAGGAGAAATATACCAAGAAGCCTAACAGTCAACCCCATGGAGTCGGAGAAAGAGAGAACAGGAGAAAAATGACTGCATTCCACCAATCAAAGTTACAAGTTCCAGAGTAATAGAGGCAGCATGGTGGGAATTACAAAAGCACATGTCAGCACGACACCATACGCCAGAGATATGGGGACAAATTATAAAAATCCTACACAGAAGCCAGAATCAACGTAAAATCAGAAGGGGAATCTGGAAGAAGGAAGCTGGTCGGAACAGGAGGAGCTGAAGAGAGCAGAAGAGGAGGTGAATGAGAAACTGTGTACAGAGAGAGAGAGAGAGAGAGAGAGAGAGAGAGAGAGAGAGAAGCGGAAACATTATTGTCTCAAAGGCTTGAAGACAGAGACTGCAAAGATCTTGGGTTCCCAAGGAGTTGCTATGACTCCTCAGAAGCACCGCTACTACAAAGGTCTTGTGTGCAAACTCAGAAGAGATGATAGGAAGAACAGAAGGTGGGGGTCACTAACACCATAAAGTTCCCAGAGTTAGCGATGCAGTTGCTTGCTGCTACTGCTGCTGGAGGCAATAAGAAGGTCCATCTACTGTAATCTACTGACCTAAACCCAAAACATTTGGGGCAATCCTAGTCTGTACTGAAAAGTGTGGCAGCGTGGTATATGTTTTTCTCATAATTTAAAAGCTATCCCTTCTCTTTATTAATGTTACTAGATGCCTTTGATAAATACAGATCTGATATCTACAACTATAGATGTTATTTTAAAAATATTCCACACAGAGAATATGCGTGATCTCTAGGTTCAATGTATGGAAAACTTACAGTCTAGTAAGATGCCAGCGGTGGTGGTACACGTTTTTAATCCCAAACCTGAGAGGCCAAAGCAGGTGCCTCTCTGTGAGTTCGAGGCCAGCCTGGTCTACAAGAGCTAGTTCCAGGACAGGCCGCAAAGCTACAGAGAAACCCTGTCTCGAAAAATCAACAAAAAAAGTGATCATCTCACAGTCTAAAGTCTACTGAAACTGAAAGTATGAAAATGTTCATTCAGTTTGCTAGTGCATAAAATACCTGCACTATTAAAGAGCATATTAAAATGTCGTATGGATTAATATTTATCAAATACAATTATCAATAAATGAAAGTGGCACAGAGCTCAGTGACGTCATTCCCCTGTTCTTTTATTTTTGTTGATATTCCTTCATGCCATCATATTCACAATAAGCACTGTACAGAAGTATGGAAAAGTTTGAGAGTTCCACCCTCGTTTTCAAAGATTACTTAAAATGAACTGTTTTGAAGCGTGTGGTAGACTTTGCTTCTTCTGTACCAGTAGAGGGCAGTGTTGCACAGCACACTACGCAGCCATTTGAACTGCTATGTTTGCTTCTATCACTCCAGAAAAGAACGTGTAGAACAAAATGTAAATAAGTTAAAATTAAAAACAATTAAGTAACTAAGGGTTTATCCAGTCTGCCAAGAAATTTGTCATTATCTAGCACACGAAGGTCTAAATTTATAACAAAAAATACAAAATGTACATTTTACTTCAAATTTAAAATATTCCTCTTTATTGTATGCATTTGCTATATATTTGCTATAAGTGTTAACGGGAAAGCATGTTAAAATATAAAAAAAAAATCTTTAAGACCAAGATTAATGAATAAAGAATCTTGGTGGAATATTAACTAATGATATTCTGATTAGAGGAAAAACAGGCAAATGAGAATATAGCCTTGTATCCAACAACACTGACTATAAATATCATAGGATGAATCTTCTAAGTCAACTTGACATGATTACATTTTAAACGAATTTTAAAAAGCACTTTTTATTTAGTCAGGTGGTGATGGCACATGCTTTTAATCCCAGCACTCGGGAGGCAGAGGCAGGCGGATCTCTGTGAGTTCAAGTCCAACCTGGTCTACAAGAGCTAGTTCCAGGACAGGCCTCAAAGCTACAGTAAAACCCTGTCTCAAAAAAATAAACAAACAAAAAGCGCTTTTTAACATTTTTGC